TCTGAGCCATTTCAAAGTTTATGAAAATTTTGAGCTATGGGTGAAGGATAATTTAATATTTGATAATTTACCACTGATCATTTCTCTTGAAAAATCTGACATTTTGCAGTAAATGTTTGATTTTGAATACTTTAATGAAATTCAGGTTTGGGGGACAAAGAAAAGGGTTAAGAATCTTTTCAAACTAGTTTTAATTGTGGTTGACTTTGCATTTACTTATTACATTTAAGAGTGAGCCTTATGACCTTGACACAGCAATCCTATACTTCAGAGATTTGTGTGTGGCCTAAATGCCTTAGCATACTAGTAATTTTTTAATAAATTTTCTTATTTAATAGATACTAGCTTCAGAAAAATATGTTCCATTTGTAAATGTTTGGATGCTTTAGAAATGTAAATGTTTTATGCTTTAGATGCTGTAAATGTTATTGTTCCATTTCAGCAATGTTGCCCAGACTGCCTGGCCAGCATTTCAGTCTGTTACCCATTTTCCTCTACCACCTACTTTCAGTATTTGATAGAGACTGCTGCTTAAAAATCAAAATATAAAAACATTGTTCATTATAAACCTATTTTTCATATATCAGAATACGAGTTTGCTTTCTAAGGTCCTTACCAAGGATCCATTTTCGAATTTTTTTTTTTTTTAATTTTGCTTTATTCTTTGCTTTGTTTCATGTCTGTTCAATTTTATTTATTCCATGTTTTCTTTTTGTTTTGTTTTTGTTTTTAGTTGTGTCTGGTAAGTTGAAATTTTATTGGCCATCTTCTAGTCATCGTATCACTGTGACGGGAACTTCTCCTCCCCTTTCCATCCACCCCCTTCCATGTCCTCCAACCACTCAGCTCCCATCTTTCACTTGTTATTGGCAAGACACCTCGAACAGAATAAATTCCGCATGAAGTGTGGGTAACTTAATGGCAAAGAGAAAGGTAATGGGTTGCAAATTTTCTGTTTTTATATGATGTATCAAAGCCAAAGCCTGATGTCTCCTCTCTTCAGTAACTGCATGGATTGAACTTCAAAGTGTGCTAAAAAAATCTTGTTTGATTAAAAGGTTACTAGGATAAAAGTTGTTCTTTTCTTACCGGTATTTATTATTTTGGCATCTTTTGCAGTCTCATCCTTATGTACCACATGTATGTTACCCAAGGTGTGAAATCAAAATGATGCTAAAAAAAAGACAGTGAAAAGGTTCCCAGTTAACATAGAATGAAGTTTAATAATAATTTCACTTAACCCAGTTTAATTCTTCTAACATTGAAGCTACTAAGTTTTTTTATTATTTACTTTAATGTCTATAGATTTAGAATAATACACATATGGGCAATATGCATAGATTTTAAGAGTAGTATCCATACAAAATATGTATTTAGAATAATACTTAGAGGGAGATGTACCCATCTATATTTTATAAATTCTACCATGGCTGCCTATAGGACTTAATTCCCCCTTCCTTTTTGTGTTAAGTAGTCCCTGAATGGTCATCTTGAGGTACTATAATCACAACCATCAGCTATTTCTCCAGTGGTCAGAACCATTTTAATCTCTTTGTAGTTGTACCTGTCCCTGAGATCGATGAAATCTGAAACCTCATAAATCCTCTGCACCAGCACAGGGTTTAGAAACCCTCAGTTCCATATTGTGTGGCATTGTGTCACAGGCTAGTGCAGAACCAGCCGAGCCCTAAATTTAACTGTATGCTAAATTTATTCTTGTTACTAGAATCTAGCAGCATAACAAAGGTGCTTCACCCTCATCTCCATTTTCCCTGCCATGCCTCACAACCCTGTGGCAAATCCCCAGCCAGTTCTCCCTCCCTTCCAAATGGAACGTGTTGTCATGTCAGAGTCTTCCCACATCTTCTTCCAAGGTGCTGGCTGAACGTTTCAGAGCTGAATGTTTTGAAGTCCGCTAATTGCAGTAGGTCAGTCTTAGCTTTGCCTTGCATAGTTTCTCATCTGAGGAAATGCTAGGAAAGGTAACATTTGCATCTAAATATAGACAATAATGTAACGCTTCAAAAATTCCTCTCAAAGCAGGAGGGGTGTAGGAAGAATATATTCTGATATGAGCTCACCAGGGAGCAGACACAAGGCATGGGGAACAGATAACTGCAAGAATTGGCCCACAGGAACACTGAAAGCAATTGTTTGGGGTTTTTTTAAATTTTATTGAATTTATTCTAGATAAAGCCACTACTATTTGTTTATAAAACACATCTTTGCATTATATATTTTACACTGTTTTAAAAGGAAAATCTGGTGAAAACATCAATGTTCACAAGGGAAAAAAAGGAAACAAATATCAAAATTATTTGATTTCTCAAAGTCAGATACAAAACATCCCTTTTATTCTCAATCCAAAGTAGAGGAAGAGCATAATTAGTTTTAGGCAGATGAACAGAAAGAATTGGAAATTAATAAATAAATGGGCTTTGATTTAATGCACATTTCTCAAGAAGCAGAAGTTAACAGCCTATAGAACATGCTAGATTTTTTTCTGTGCTAACATCACCAAGGTATCTAATGCCATCTATGCTGGGTTTTTTGGGTTTTTTTTTAATGTGACTGACACAATTTTTTGACATTCTACTTACTATTGGATGAAGGGGTTGTTGAAGTCAGTATAAATCAAACAATGTTGGCAGTATTTATAATGTTAGGCTGAGCAGATGTTTCAAATTTGCCTTCATTTGCATATATATTTTGTTTGAACATACTCTTGCGTATGTAAATGAGGAAGACATTTAGCTCTGCTGTTCCTTTAAATTCATTCCTTCTCAGTGTGTTTGAACTGGAGATTTTAAGTGGTTATAATTTGAAAGGTATTTCTTGAGCTTTTTACTTCAACTTTTTTTGAGATCACAATTACATCAAAAGTTTCTTATATAAGCACTTAAGGGCTTTTGCTTTCCTAAGTCAGAGATGATGACTTTTGTGTGTGTAAGCCTGAATTCATAGTTACTCAGAAGTGTGTCTTGCAGCCCTTAACAAAGTGTGACCTCTGGGCCAGTAGTCCCTCAAATATTTCTACATTCTGGCTTGCAGCCCTAGTCCTCCTTTAAAACCAAATTGTAGCAGATTTGTTTGTATTGGTGACTGTTGCTCTGCAAGTTGTCTCATCAAGCTGGTGGGACTTATTTCCTTATACACTGGGCCAGCACTAAAAGTACATGTTGCACAGTCAGAGTTTTAATTGGGAGGTCCAGACACAGAAAAGATGATCTGAGTGATGTTGAAGCTGTGGTTGTTAAAGACTGATGTGTCTTTGTGCTGCCTTTCCTTATTAAAGAAATTTAACTGCTCTGGTTTATACCATTAAAACACAGGAGGCAAATTGTTCTTTCAAATCAGCTGTTGGCAGTGTGATTTATTTATTTTTGGTGTTTTCCTTTCAGAGCCTCCACAGTTTGTTGTGAAGCCTCGAGACCAGGTAGCTGCACTGGGAAGAACAGTGACTTTCCAGTGTGAAGCAACTGGAAACCCTCAGCCAGCCATCTTCTGGCGGAGAGAAGGGAGTCAGGTGAAACAGCCTTTCTGTCCTCCTTCCTGGCAGCTCCTTCAAGAACTGATTTCACATCAGAGAAAAATATTTTAATATTGTTTTAAAGATGTGGAAAACAGGCTTAGAGTGTGGAAGTGCTGGATGTTTATTCTTTACTTCTAAGGCATGTGTGTGCTAAGTGATGTCAGTCTTACTAGAACAGATCTGTGTTTTGCTGTCTCCTGTTTTCTCCATGAATGTAAAAAAAAAACCAAAACTGTGAATCAACTAGAAACACTCCATGTTTTACTGCTCTGATAATCTAGTTCACCTGACAGGGAGAACTTTTAGGAGATGGAGACTTATGCTGAAATTTGGTCAAATCCCTCAATCACTCCCAGATTTTCAAAAAGTTTGGCTCTGGGTTTATGGTGCAGCTGTTAGTTTGCCATGTGGTTTTGAGTTTCTGGCAAGCTGAACTGTTTGCTGCATTGATCTGCATCACTACATGGGCAGGACTCTAGTTCTGGGCTGAGGAGAACTACTTTCCCACTCCATCAGTCGACTGACAGACCATACCTGAATAGGTCACCTTTTCTCCCAAGTTCCTTATTTGAATGGGAGGGAAAATTATTTTCATCTTCTTTGTAAAGGATCTTGAAAGCCAGTGGGTGAAACACAATATAGCTCAGCAAGAGAATTGCAGTTTTCTTTCAGAGTCATCTTTTGAAGGAGGGATGTGACACAAAGTATTCTTTATTGGAAGGAAAGAAGGAATATGGGATTCTGGTTTTCCTGTGAATGAAGGAATGAATGGTGCAAGAGTATATGACAGGGTTCTTTGTGTTACAAAACAATAGGGCAGAGAAATTGAGAACAGTTGGAGATGGGCATCTTTACTCCATTTGCAACATTTCTGTCTGAATACCTAAGTATAACTAGACTGCTGACCAAGTTTAGATGATAAACTTCAGTGGTGTGTATATATATAGCAGTACTTAGTGCTTTTTATTTGTTTGTTTGTTTGTTTTCCACATGTTGTCTAGTGCACCTTTTTTTTCTTTTTTGCTCATTTTTGACTCTGCTGAGTGGTGAACACTTGTGATGATTGAGAGAAATGAAAGAGGAGGCCAACAAATAGTGTTTGCTAATACTGGAGAATATTGTGTCCCATTCCTTTGGACAATTTTTGGAAATGCAAAATATAGTTGGACAAGAAAAAGAGATAAATATACCCTCTGTGATCCTTAAGTATTGTTGCTCACAGGTTGTTCAGTCAGAGGTAGAAATGCAACCTCCAACTGATTATTGGTAAATACTATGTACTTCAGAACCAAACTATCTAAATAGGCATAGGATGTAGCTCAGTATTACAAGACTTTTCATAAAACACAGACATTCTATTCAGAGAGACCTACAGAGCATCTCTTTTAAAAAAACTGCTCCAGTCTAGGAAGGCAAATGTTAAAATACAGATAAGTAAACCACCATCTGCATTTAAATGAAAGCAAACAAATGCCCTGGAGCAAGTTCTAAAAAGGAACATTAAAGCAAATTACTGAGGTTCACCACAGTTGCTTGCACCACTTCAGTGTCTGTACATTTCACATCTTCACTAGACTCTGTTAAACTTGGTGCAAAGTCCAGTGTTGGTCCTGGAGAGTGTTAGAGCAATCCCAAAAGTCTGAAGTCTTGCACAATTCTGTAGGTGCATATCTGCACCTATTTTGTCACTAAAAAAATCCTACAGGTGCTACTTGCATTGTGGTGTAGACATGCATAAGGCATGAAGAGCAGAATGTTTTCTGCATAATATCAAATGATTAATTTGTTTAGCTATTTTATAGTTATGCTTATAGATGTTTGAATTTATTTAACCTATTTTTCCCCACTTTCTTTCCTGTACATCTTTCAGAATCTGCTTTTCTCATACCAGCCCCCTCAGTCATCCAGCCGATTTTCAGTCTCTCAGACAGGAGATCTCACCATCACCAATGTCCAGAGATCTGATGTTGGGTACTACATCTGCCAGACTTTAAATGTTGCAGGAAGTATCATAACAAAAGCCTACTTGGAAGTTACAGATGGTAATCATAGATTCATTTCATCATTTCCAAGGTTTTTATTTTTATTTGAAGACAGCAGTGTGGTGATGTGACACTACTTTGAAATCTGTTTTGCATAAATGTGGATTGCATGTTTCTTTGAACATAAAAATCCTGTTTTGGCCATCTCTGTTAGGGGCTTACAATTCTGGATGATGTGTAACTATATTTCCATTTTGTATTTGGCAAGTATATTCAGTGTATGGACTTTAGTCAGATCTGTTAATTTTTATCTGACTTTTTTAGCCACTGGATTCAATTTACTTTCAGGTTGCTTGCTGTCTGGTTCTTTATCCCTTTTATTGTGTGGCCATTTGCTTAGCACTTCCATTCACCTGTTTTTTTCCTGTTTCTTAATATTGTGTTTTAGCAAGAAAAAAAAATTATCAACCTGTATGGAGATGAGCAGAATAACACAGAGATTATACATCTGTTTTTAGGAGTAAGGAAAAAACACAAGATGAAAAAGCTACAGGGAGCATTACAAGCAGTAATGCGTGCTGGTGTGAGGCCGGTTTGCCAATTATCAGAAATACTTCTTATTTTTAGCAGCAGAGATACACAGGGAAACTACTAATGTTAGCATTTACAGAGGAAAAGAGGAAATTTGAGCAGAGGGAAGCTGTTGTCTGAGAAGAGATTCCATAAAATAGCCATTTGTCCCATAGAAAACATAGAAATAATAACAATGTATTAAAATATGCAGTGAACCTGTAGGATAAAATTGTTTATTTATCTCCCCCTCCCCCTGGATTGACATAGATGGAATAGGACTAACTCCCTTCTGGTTCCTCACAAACTGTAAGCCACATTTCCTAATCCTTTTTTTTTCTTTTTTTCATGGGGGAGAAGGCCATGGCAGGGTAAGAAATAGATTTAAAACAGTTTTCTGCTAATGAACTTAGAAGTAATCAGTTTAAATGTATTTTCTTTACTATATTCTCCAGATTGATCTGATGAGTAGATTTTTTTTTATAATGTTTCGGGACACTTTTTGGTATTTTTACAAAAGTGAAGGCAGAATATGCTGAATATTTGTAAAGGTATTAGAATACCTTTATGAATGGTTTTCCTAAAGGTAGGAGTTGCCATCAATTTCAGTGGACTTAAATCAGCCATGAACTTCAGTGTCATTAGATTTCTCCTATAAAGCACAGATCAGTCATCTCCGTACCTTTGCCAACTGCAAAGTTCTTTACAAACTTGTCAAATGCAAATTATAAGTGGGCTTATTCTGTCTGTCTCTGCTGAGAAAGATTGTGACAGCCTTAAAGTGTGTAGCAACAGGTTGGGACAAGAGCTAAAGGATTAAAAATGCAATTGAAAACAGAATGTCATTTGAACATGCAAATGAAATCATGGGAGTTGGAATTTAGCCAAAAAAAACAGTGCTAACATCCTGTCTGTTGTTATGAAAAGTAATTTAGAAATATCTGATGTTCACAAATGATCAGAACTTCAGGTTTATATTTCAGCCACCAAACCAGTTTTTAAGTTACATGAGCCCCATGCCACCGCTGAACAGATTTATGACATTTAAAATTATGGCTATTTTCAGATCATCAATCCATGTCATCTTGGATGGTACAGGTAAAGTAGATCCCTGAAACCCAGAAGGAAAACTTTGACCTCTTTTTTGGATAATGGAAGACTACCATTATTTTTTCTGTGAATATTGAGACTGGTTTATATTTTCCTGTACACTATAATTAAATAACCCATCAATAGCACTTAATTTTCATTGTGTGAAAGATGCATTAAAATTAACATAGAAATGGGATTATGGGATTTTCTTTGTGGCTCTGAAGTCATCATAAAAGTCAGAAACTACTGAAAAAAGACTTCATAGAAGAAATCTTCCCAAAATTATTCTGTCATTTGTGTTTTCTTTACCCTACTTCTGGGCATCTCACGAATAGGACACAGCACCAAGATGAGTTGGTGGCACATAAAAATTTGCGAGGTTATCCCCTGATTGCCTGCCTCCTTTTTGTCTGTCTTTAAGTGCTGGATGTATGAGCTGTGTTACACAGGCCTGGCAGTGGTAAAAGATGGGAAAGGTGAAATCTTGCGTCTTGCCAAAGAATCTGGGAAGTCCTTTCTTTTTCCATTATCACTTCATAAAGACATTGGACTTGGAGAATGCCTGGAGGATAGCAGTGTGAAATATGCAATACTTCCTCTGTTCTGAAAATACTGCGTTGTGTATCATTTTAATCATCCATAGCTGTGCATCACTGCAGTGCACCCTGCCCTGAATAATGCATGCCTCCAACTTTAATTACTTGTTTAATTATTTTTAGTTTGTTTCAAAGCCTCAAGCAACTGCTGTTGCTTAGATGATTAAAAAATTGCTTCCAGTTGCAGAAATGTCTTTCCTGTTGTTTCTCCTGGCAGTGATTGCAGACCGGCCTCCCCCTGTCATTCGGCAGGGTCCTGTCAATCAGACTGTGGCTGTAGATGGTACTTTAGTACTGAACTGTGTGGCCACAGGCACATTAATGCCCACTATCCTCTGGAAAAAGGATGGGATCCTCATTTCCACCCAAGACTCTCGCATCAAGCAGCTGGAGACAGGAGCACTGCAGATTAGATATGCCAAGGTAGCCTGAGCTGGCAAATGGGTTTTCTTGTTTTGTTTCATTTTGTGCTTTCAACCTCCAGGCATTTTTGATGTAGTAGACTCTGTGTTTAGAATTTATGAAAGGTTACATCAATTTACTAAAATATTTGATACTTCATGTTTTCAGATAATACATTCTTTATGGTTAACACCTGCCCAGGGCACATTATTTCAGATTTCATAATGAAAAATGCTGTAAAGAGGTATTAATTAACAGAATTATTTGGTACTTAAAACATGAAGGGGAATATATTTCAGTAAGACAAATCACAACATTATTTGGGCTTTAGCACTAATAGATTAAAATGATCTAGTTAATTCAAATGTTTATAAAGAAGACCTTTGTTTATCATATTCAGTAATAGAGCCATGTACACAGCTTTTTTTCAAAAGAGGCTTTAGTGTTTAAACATGTTTACTCACCAGTGTAACATAGCTTAAAATGGTTAACCACCTGTCAAATACCTGGCTTCCTCAGGGAGTTACAGTACCTGGCCAGTATTGCTGTTGGTCATGCACTGCACACTTTATAATGTTCTAAAATGTGAAGTTGTAGCATACTGGATATTCTCTACTATCTTTTCTGTGGTTTGAAATGGAGCAATTTCTTTTTAGATTAGGCTGAATACATCACTTTGTCATGTTCCCTAGAGTTGCCCTGCTGCCAATTACAAGTTAGACTGGCTTAGAGCTTGAATCCCTGATTTTTGATCACTTCCTTTCAGTTCATCTGCTGAGGCTGGGACCTGAGGAGGATAGCATTTCTTTTTTGGGAAAAAAAAAAAGATACACTTTTGAAATGTGATTAAGTCACATATGGACAAATAATCCAACATTCAGAACTGGATGAGGATAGCATATGGAGATTCTTTTTTGGGTCTGCTGTAGAGTGAAATTTATACTAACACAGGGAGCCTCATATGTACCCTGTGCAGTATTTAAGCCTTGCTTTAAGGATGACGTGTTCTCCAGTGCTCCAGTCCTGATAAATCCCCTGGCATTATTTATGTAGAAGGTTGACAGTTGCATGGGGTCTTGTCATCTGAGCTCCTTCTCAATTTATTTGTTAGTACCTCTGCAGAGTAAGGAATAAATGCTACAGGAAATGGCCTTCAGTTTGTTCATTGCAGAATAGTTAACATTAAATTAGAATCTGCAGCATTCTATTCTGATTCTTTTGTGATTGCTCAGAAATAAATACCCATTTTTGCTTGTCAAAATTGTAACTTCTAATGGAAGGAGTTTCTGGTGCGAAGTTTTTGCAGGCTAATACATTTATCCATATTCATGGGGGAACATAGAGAGCTGTAATTACTTTCCTAGCCCAATGAGTGCCTGACTGTTTCAAATGTTTATTCTTCTCTTCTCCCATTCAGCTGGGTGACACTGGCCGGTACACCTGCATTGCTTCAACCCCGAGCGGCGAAGCGACGTGGAGCGCATTCATAGAGGTCCAAGGTAAATCCATTAGAGCTCCTCTGTGTGGAGAAAATACATGAAGGAAAACCAGAAATTGAAATGCAGAAGATACCTGACTCTGACATAATTTGCCAGTGCAGATATGAGCAGCATTTCGCTTACAGCTGCTTCCTGTCCGTACTCAGCATTTCTCTCTCCTTTTGTCAGAGTTTGGAGTCCCGGTGCAGCCACCAAGACCCACTGACCCAAACTTGATTCCTAGTGCTCCATCAAAGCCTGAGGTTACAGATGTCAGCAGAAATACAGTAACGTTGTCATGGCAACCCAATTTGAATTCAGGTGCAACGCCAACTTCTTACATAATTGAGGCCTTCAGGTATGTGAGTCTCACGTGATCTTGCTGTCTGTATGTTTACATGTACTGTGTTGCTAAAGAACCACTAACCTGCTGTTGTGTGGTTTATCCTTAGCCATGCATCAGGGAGCAGCTGGCAAACTGTAGCTGAAAATGTGAAAACTGAGAGTTTTGCAGTGAAAGGGCTAAAACCAAATGCAATTTATCTCTTCCTTGTGAGAGCAGCTAATGCATATGGGCTGAGTGACCCAAGCCAAATATCTGATCCAGTGAAAACTCAAGGTAAGTTTTTGATACTGAACATTTTGGATGTCCACAGCAACTGTCACAAGTTGACTAAGCAATACCAGATGCAGGAATTCTGGTAGCTTTGTACTGCCTACCTATCCTGGCTATAATATCTACTACAGTAAAATAGTGTTTAAACTCACATTTCTCTGTAACACATACTCTGACAGCTTGTTGCATTGCCTAAGGGAACCCAATCTCTTATCCAAAGGTAGTTACAATTTGCAGAATAGCTCTTGCTAGCAACCAAGTAATCCCTGTTTTTTTTGAGTTCCCACACAAATCCTCAAATTCCATGGAAATGTTATTACTATGTCCAGTGAATCAAATGAAGCTTAAGACTGAGACAGGGAGAGAAACAGCATGTAATCTAAGTTGATTTCTGCTGCAATAAGAAAAAGTTGAAAATTTGAAGGAATTTGGCATCACAAACCAGTAAAGAAGTTTTGGCAGTATGTTACAAGTGTTTCCACAGTACAAGTGTTGGAAGCAAAACAGGGTAGAAAGCAGTGCTTACATACAGCCAAGTGAAAGAAAAGTCTGGGTAGAAGTGAATGAAGGTGTCATCCACTGACTCCAGCTGTGACTGAAGTCCAGCTATGTAAAATTAAAACTATCTTTGTGTTCACTGTAGCAAATAAATGACACTTAGGATGATGTGCAGGGAATAATGCATTACAGCTCTGACACCTGCATTTGTCCAGTAGAAAAGCTTAGATTCTTAAGAAGGGAAAACTGGACACACTCTTTCCAAGAAAAGGTGATAGAGAGTGTATTTTTTTTCTTTGTTTTTTTGATCTTCCTACTTACTGGAGAAATTGGCCTACTGGCTTATTAAGAGTGTCTTTGTTGTATGTTTGTTTCTTTGTTTGTGTAAGTGAGTACATGTTAGTTTTTGAAAGGAAGTTCTCTAAAGGAAACAAAATGTTTTTCTTTGGTGACTTCTCATGTTTTCTGTAGTTGGTCTGAAAGCAAATCTTTCTCATCTCCCCTGGGGTGTGACCAGTTTCACATTGCTGTCTTTTGGTATCATTCATTTCTCCTGATGGGTGACAATTTCAGCAGATTTGTATGGCCAGCAGAGTCACAGCCCCATGGAAAATCAGGATTGCACAGGTTCCCAAGTCTGTTAGCAAGGAGAGATTTAATAACCTTTTAGTGATTCCTGATTTCTGGGAATAGAGCTGCACAAGCCTGTTTTTCATGTAATGTAGTTTCATTTCTGGAGAAGAGGTATTGTGTCTGTCCCAAACTAACTGATTATTGACCTGATTCTGAAAAAGAGCAAATGTTCTGTTCACTCAACTGAGTGCTTTATAATGACATGGAAAAGCTTCACTGTTCCCTGGGCACCTAGTAGAGCTGAAAACCCAGGAGCCACACAATACCTCAGTGAAAGCAACAACTAACACATAAAATCTTCTCCAATTTTAAGAAATGTAATCAGGTGTCAAGTCCTTTAGAGCAGTTCTGCTCTTCTTCCAATACCATTTAATTTTTAAGTTGTGGACTAGCTAAGCAAGTCCAAAAATTGCCAGTTGGCTTTTGTCTAAGGGTGGTATAATCTGGTCCTAACTGCTTGTTCAGTGCACAAACTGAGATGAAGGTAGGTTACTACCTTCAGTGCCTTCTTCCCTTCAGTACCACCTTCCTAGTACCTTCATCTTTGTACTTTGCAAACATTAACAACCACATTCTTGGGTGTTTTCGCTGACAGTCCCCATCTTGGAAGCTTGGAGCCGAAACAAGAAAGCACACACATCATTTTATAGCACAGATGTGCAAATGGCTGAGCCTGTGAATAGTTTGATCCATATTGTGGATGACTCATCTCTTGACTAGCCAAGCTAGAGCTAATTATTCCACTGGCTTTCCTGTTACATCCTGAGCAGGGTGATATTTGGGCAATGATCCCGAACAGAAGCTTTTATCTTTAATGCTTTCAAACTTTGGGAGGAGGGAAATACTGTGATAATGGATTGTTTGCAGAACATACTTTATGGCTGTAGTATGACATAGCAGTGACTCAGTAGAGGAATCCATTGACTTTTTTGGTTTTGTTATTTTGTTATTATCGATGTTGATTGCTAAGAATCCATATTTGTCACTCACTGGCTACACATTAACCTCACTAGTAACCACTGCAAGTACTTTTCATGAATTTCCAGTCAGCATTTTAGCCATAGTCAACACAGTATTTGTTTAAAATGAGATGATCAAGGAGTGAGATGTGAACCTAGAACAGAAACTGTTACTCTGTTTTTCCATAGTACATGTTTTAGATACCCTCTTAGTGATTACCCTGTAAATTTTACACATCTGACAGTTACTCCATTTCTCTTAAATGTGCTTTCCAAGGGTTCAATATGCCCAAACTTTTACATTGTACTATTACATGTTTTGGGAGGATTTTGTCCCTTCATGCATATGAATAAATTCTTCCAGCTATAGGATAGACCAAATATCAGGTGATCCAGACAGCCCTCAGCTGGGCTCTGCCTCCCATTTACAGAAGCCTCTTGCCTTAAGAGAAGTTGCAGCCATAGGAGTAATTTATCTTTTCTCTGGTTGTTAACATTATTTTGTGGTAACACCAAGTAAGTTTGTCATTAAGTTATCTTAAGATACAGCTTCTGCTTTTGCTGTTCTTTATAGGTTGCCTGGTCTCTTGGAATTTGCAGTGGGAAATAGAACTTTTTCTCTTTCCAGCAGGGAAGAGTAAAGAGAGGCTGCTGTAGCCATTTACCAAAGCTGTCTATGAGTGTGGTGTGTCTTTTTGTGCAGCATTACCCTCGCGTTTCTGTGAAAGGAAGTGCAGTGTCTTGAGTTGGTACTACCTAAACGTTGGTGATTTACTCAAGAAAATGCTTCATGTGGCTTTTTCTTACATGGTTAGGAAGTACTGAGGGTCAACTTCATTAGTGATAGCATCATATACTTTTTGACGTGCTCATTTGTATTTACATGTACTTATCTCAACAATCATGTGTACTTGTGAGAATGGAATCTTAAATTATTGCAGATGTTCCGCCAACAAGTCAAGGTGTGGATCACAAGCAGGTCCAGAGAGAGCTGGGTGACGTGGTGCTACATCTGCACAACCCTACTATCCTTTCTTCCTCCTCAATCGAAGTTCATTGGACTGTGAGTACAAATCTGTTCCCTGCTGGTGCTTACATGTACTGCTGAGATGTCCTGCCTCAACTGCAGTGGGGTCACACTTTAAGAAGCTGAGTAGTTTGTATGCTTGCAAATTTTTTTCTCTAGGAAGAATGCTGCTTGTGCTTTGCTTTTCTACTTCATTAAATTTTATCCATTTTCTCCATCTTTGTTTCCATAGAGAGTACTGTTTACAATAGGATGAGGGTTTCAGAGTCCTCTGGAAGCTAAAGGACTGATCAAAGCCTTCCTAAGTCATACCATTTGAAGCCTTTGCACTGCTTTCAGTGGGATGTGTATCAGTCCCTTAATGAGATAACATGAGTAATTCCCTGTCAGTCACCTATAGAGAGAAATACTGCACAGTTCTATTTGAAAATGTTACTCCCATGCTACAGACATGCTGACAAAAACACCCAAATCAGATAGCCTCACCTGAACCCATCCTTTCCTGTGGTGAGCTGAGCACACGTGGTGCAAGGAAAGGAGGTAAAAAAGTCATCATATTGCATCATATTGATGCTGTTCTGGCAGCAAGCAGGAAAGCAGGGAGTTGGCCGTATGGAGGACATAGCAGAGGAACTGAGAGAGTGAGGAATGGAACTGAAAGATCAGTTTTAAAATGGAATGCAGAATTAAGAAAAAGTTGGGGATATAATTATAGCATGTACGGAAATAAAACTGTAAGGTGTTTTATTGAGGTCTTTGTAGGACTTCCATCTGAACATTCCAGTATACTGGCAGGGGTAGTGTGGGACAGCATGGGCTATAGCTCCTGCCATGCCATAGCAGAATATTTTGAACAGGAGCAAAAGGCATTTTGACTTTGTAGAAGAGCCATAGCCCAAAGGAGTCCTGATCTACACCCAGGGCTCCTCGATGCTGCAATAATATCTGCTGCGTTGCACAGTAATTACACTCTCACCTCCAGTACAGCCACCTGCAGCAGCCAATCTCCTGTTTTAACTAATACATTAAAACATCTTTGAGGTTCCTAGCAAATTTTGTTTGACCTTTACTTACAGAACAACCTTTTCCAGACAGGCAGCTTTTGTCAGTCTCCTGGGTGGCCTGTGGCTTCTCTGCAATTTCAAAAATAAGCATTACCTCAGTTTCAGCTAACACATGCATTCTTTATGTGATTATTAAAAATTAAATGTGTTGCTCTTTGGATTGAAATTGCAAACACATAGTTTTATTATGTCATTGTATGAGATTTTTGAAAACAGGAAAATCTCATGCACTTTAAAAATTTTATTGTGGTTGTTTCTGGACTTCCTTATTCATCAGAAATTGAAACCAGTAGTTGAAAAGATAGTGAATGCTCCACGACATTTATATAAGGTATCTTTCTGTTTCAGCTATAGCCAAACAGATTGGATCTGCCCTTGATTACAGTCAGATCTCTTTCTCCATAGATTTGGTATAAAATTGCCTTAGTTTGAAAAGCACTCACTTTTCACTTGAAAACTCACACTTGAAAATCAGCTTGATTTGCTTTTCAAGTCTCATCCCTGTTACCATACTGAGTTTTATGTTCCCTCTTGGAACCACCACTGAGTGGGTGGACATGGGGGAAGTCTTTGGAGAGATCTGCCCTCTGACAGAGCCCAGACACAGCAGTGGAGACAGTGCCAGCTGGCCACCCTCTCAGTATGCTTTCTCCAAAAAGAAGCAGGCAGGAAGCGGTGCTCATTTCACAGATTTTGGGAAGTTCCCACACCTTGGGAGAGTTGACAGGCTCTCTCTTTGATCTCCATATTCATCACCCTGAGCCATGGCACTGTAAATCTCCCTTTCCCCATGTGCCCAGCCCTGCTCTGCAGATTCAGGTGGGCAGCAGTCTGACCTGTGCCAAGCTCTTTTGCTCCACGGATGCAAAGACTGTTCATTTCATGGAGCTGGGGCATATTAAATGACTTCGTTATCCCCCCTTAATGCCTTCCTAAATCCAGGGAAGCCAGCACAGTTCTACCAGCATCAAAGAGATTAATGCAGTTGTGAATCCAGTCTGTAATTTGCTGTAATGCAAGGAGCTTTTATCTGCTTTGGCAGTGATGTTTACTCTGAATAACATGAGGGATAGTCCAGGGGCCATGCACGGTGTCATGGGCATCACCCCTGGTTCCTGTCTGGTTATGGATGTGTTCTGTGTTTTGCTGTCTTGCCAGGTGGACCAGCAATCCCAGTATATTCAAGGATATAAAATTCTGTACCGGCCTACACCAGCATCTTATGGAGAATCAGAGTGGTTAATCTTCGAAGTGAGGACTCCAACCAAAAACAGTGTTATCATTCCAGAGCTGAAGAAAGGTGTAAACTACGAAATCAAGGCCCGCCCCTTCTTTAATGAGTTTCAGGGAGCAGATAGTGAAGTGAAATTTGCAAAGACCCTGGAAGAAGGCAAGTAGGAGCTAGACTGTCTTCATCTTTCCTTTTTGAAGTAGCAGCCTGGCCAGCTTTCCTCTGATATGTTCATTATTTGATCTTGTTTGAAGTGCATGCTGTTTGAGAGCAGCAATCTGTGGCAGAGGAGACTGATCATTATGTGAATTGTTTGGTGACACAGAAGTAAATATTCTGAGCCAGGCATGAGAGACAGAGAGAGAGGGATGTGCAAAAATCCCCTCCAACACACAATGGGAAACGCGCTTTTTTATCTTCCCTGCAGTGTGTGCACTCCTCCCTGCTGAGTTCATGGGCTGGTCACAAGTGACTTCTGTCAGATTGAAGCACTTGCTAATCACTATCTTGAGTAGATAGCAGACACCACAGAAATCATCAAAGCAGTGTAGCTGGGGGAATGGAAACCATGGTTTTTAGAAGGCTTTTATATGTGGATCAATCAGCGAGACAAAATGGAAAGATGAATGAGGGCAACAGATAGAGCGGACTAAATTATGTATTTCCATCTCATACATGTGCTAAAGAGACAAGGTTCATAAAGCTCTTCCTTCTGTTGCTGCACAGGCATGATAAGTATGCAAGGTGGCCAGTTCCTCTGAATAGGGATTTTGGTGCTGCTGCTAGGATGTGCAGCCTTTCCCTTTCCATCTTCCTCCTCCTTTAGAAATGCTGTGTTGCTCCAGTTTATTGCTGCATGTTATCCAAAAGGTGTGCATAGCTGCATTCATCCTAAGCATTAGCTAAGCATACACTTTCTAGAAGGATTATTTCAAATTCAGGACATGAATAATTATTATAAATATGTTAATAATAACACATTCTGTCCAGATTTTAAAGAGTTTTGTATTACTCATTATTCTTTACACACTAGAGGAACTGAGATTTAGACTGGGGACTGTATAGGATCTTTTTTTCGAAACTGTTGATCCTGGGTGAGATGACTTGAGACCAGTGAGGAGCTCAGTGCCCAGAACTGTGACATGCCAGTAATGTGTATCTCAGAGTACAGTTTGGAGTGTTACTTTTCCTGGCCTGCACAGCAAAACTACAGCAGAACTCAGAGCCTGGTTGTTGGGTTATACATATTCCTTCTGTATCATTTTATCTTGTGGGCACAAACTGCACCCAGTGAAGGGTGGGACAGAAAAGATTGCATTTGTAGAGCCCAGAAACCATCTTCCACTTAAAGAAACTGGCTTGTGGGTGTGACAAACATAACATTCAATCCTTCTTTCCGAACAAACAGCTCCCAGCGCTCCACCTCAGAGCGTTTCAGTAACTAAGAACGACGGGAACGGGACAGCAATCGTGGTCACCTGGCAGCCACCCCCTGAGGACAACCAGAACGGGATGGTTCAGGAATATAAGGTACTGCTGGCATGGCTTGGTTCCCTGGCAGAGGGAGCGTGGCCAAGTAGCGAGGGAAGGGCTGTTTGTGGATGCTTGGCTCCATCTTCTGGTTACTCAGAAAAAATGAGAGAGAAAGTCACTGCTTTGAATCAAACTCCATATTTAGTGATTCTGCCTAGGTGGTGGAAGGCAATTAAAACAGCCTCCATAAATCAAAGCAAAGGGTCAACACTCTTAATTAAAACAGCTCCTGCCTTGCCTTCATTATGACTTGGGAAATGCACACACGAGGAGAGAGGGAATCATACCTGTTTGAGATCCACTTTGTGACTCTTAAGACACTGGCCAAGGTAGTAAATATAAACAGGCTTAATGTGTTGAAAAGCTCAGGGGTAATAATTAACAGTGTTAAGATCTGAGTAAATTATGCATAACTGGAAATGGAAAACTTTCAAGGAAAGAATGTGCTTCTATGATAATAAATCTATTAGTATGTAGAATTTTTTTCTTTTCTTCCAAACAGTTCTCATTATGTTATTTAATTTTTAACAAATTGAAAGTACATTAAAAATATGTATTGTTCGTTATTAATTTATGAACACAGACTGTATTTCCAGTTTGAATTTTTCGGTGATAATTTATATAGCAAAGCAAATGAAGTTTATTTTTCCTAAGCAAGCTAGAGATGTTTCAAATGTAGATATAGTAAGCTTTGTAGCCATGAAAAGCAGGAACTTTGGTTTTAACCCCTTGCAAATACACAGTATTAAGAATGTCTTGGCTGTTTTTCAGGTTTACACACAGTGCTATAAACATATATTCCTACCCATCAAAACTCATTCTGATTTTTTTCTCCTCTCAGTAAAAATGGGAAAGGGAAGAGATTGCTAAGCTTCATGGTCAATTTAGAAAAATAAAATCCTTTTTCAGAACCTGGCCAACTGGTAAAAAAAATCTGTTTGTGGCCTAGTTTCACATTTATATAATTGGAAAAAATACTTGTGAAGTTATTTCATTTAAAGACAAATCTTGAGCTGGAAAGATGGAATTATTTCCAACAAGAAACTGCATCAGAGGAATGTTGAGGTTGCAATGACACAATGATAAAAGTCAAGAAATTCACATTTCTGAGTGGATATAATCCCTATCCCACCTCCCAGGATTTTGAGGTCAGGCTACCAGCTGCTGGAGCAAGCACACTGTAGTGCTTATGTAGCAGTAGATGGCACACTTTTGCATCTGTATTTGTTGCATTGATGCCATTATTTTCCTTTGTGCTTATCACCATGGACAGAAAACAGACATAAAAAAAAAAATCTGTAAAAATATATATGCCATTTCTGCCTAATTTGCTAAATGTAATTACTGATTTTATCAAAAAAACCTAAAGAAATGCAGAACTGCTGAGTTTAGATTAAGAGCTAATAATAAGAAAAAAATTTAAATAGAAATCTTGAGAAATTTTCTCTTTTCTTCCCCTTTTGTTTTTCTATCTTCTTTTTTCTATCAGAAAATTGAAAAAAAAGGTATGCATATATGGGGCAGATCATTATTTTCTCAGCAACTCAGATCAAAAGCAAGAGTATACCTACTTTAATTAAAGGATAAAATAAATAGGAAGAAGGATACTATCTTAATTGAAGAATTGTCAGTAGAACACACAAAACCCTGGAAATTCAAATTCACAGCAGAAGTAATTTTCTCCTTCTCTAGCACAAAGTTAGAAATTCTCTTGTTCTACTAATTCTCTCTCTTCTCTTACGTGTCTGTTATAATATGAATTCATTCTTCTTTGATAACATTCTAAAAGTTCATTTTCACTTGCCTGTTTATGTCAGTCAAATGTTGGATGGTGAGTACTGAGCAACTTGATGTTTGACCTGACATTCTTGTTTGATGCACTTCTCCATGTACTTGAGCACCTAAGAACAAAACCTTTTTATTCTGAATTAGTAGTTCATGATTACAAGTACATAATAAGTGGGTTTCATTGTTTGTAACTGCAACATTTTACAGGGTAGCAGTAATAATTTCTGTGAAAATTACCTAAGTCAAAATGTAGATTTAAGTCCTTTGTTCCTCACTTACTCGAGTTCTTATTTATATGAGCATTTTCATGACCATCCTTTAGGATTCAAGAGCAGTACTAGTAACAGTTTTACTCCTAGCACTGATTGAAACAGTCTCTACGTAGTATCAGAATACAAAAAGGAGACTCTCTTCATGTGCTGTGACCTGCTCTGCAGCAGCACTTATGTATATCATGTGCTGGGATTCGATTTCAAAGGAACCTAAATGCATTTCACATCCTCACAGTGTCCCACTAGCCTTGTTTCAGTCTGTGGCATCCAGAGAAGGAAAAAAGGTCTTTACAATGTCCTGAAGGTGAGATAAAATCTCCAGTGTCCAGGCAGGAAGGGCTGTACAGAAGGGGCTGTAGCAATTGTTCTACATGTGAAAGTCTATCCCACTCACCTGGCAACCTCCACAGCAGCAGAATTCCACTAGGGATTTAAAGCAGCTATCAGGGTACTAAATCTTTTAGGAGCTCCATATGTTGAAAGCAAAATCTTCCCTCCCAATTGTACAATCAGCCCAGGTTCTGATATGCTGCTGTTCTCAGCCAAGTTTGCTTCTTTACAGATAAGGTATTGAATTTAACTAATTTAACTTTCTGGATAAATGTTCTTTGTAAAGCAATACATTTGTGAAAAGAACACAAAAAGGACATAGGCGCAGCTTCATGATTTTTTTTAGCCGATGTAGATTAGCTGCTGCTTCACCTTGAATAGCTGTTGGGAGTTCAACCATCTTCCTAAAAGCATTTACCACATCAATGGTTCAGGCCTAAAGAGATAAAGATATCTCACCATAATGTTTCTCCCAGCCATTTAATGTCACTGATGTAATATATGAAGTTGTGAATTGAAGTAACTAAACCTGTATCTTGGTCTCAAGCAAAAAATGAGATCTGATGTCACGCTGTTGTCTCAATTAGAAGACGGCATATCACTCAAAATTCACCCCTTGCTGCCATCTAAAAAAAAAGAAAAACCAAAACCTTTTGGATTCCATTATGACATCAGTTCCCTTATAAGATGTCATGTGATGAAAGACTTGCTTGTGAACTAGAGTGACACATAATTCCTGGAGTATTGCAAATTCATTTAACTGAATGCTCTTCCTTTGTTGTTTTTGTGAACAGTTCTTGGCTGTGGGGCTTCCCTCATTTTTTCTGTGCTTGTAGTTTCATTAGCACTTGTTGAACTCTAAATGAATTCTGATAAACTCATCAAATGGTAGTACTTGGAGCAGCTCTTTGGAACAAGAAGTATCTTTTCAGTATTCATAGAGGGCCTAGGACAGCAATCCAGCACTGCAGATGTTAGAACAGTGACAAAGTGTAAATTCCTTCATCCAGAAGAAAAGAATGCGTCAGCTTTCCTTCTTCTTACCCTTCAGGGTTGAATTTGGAACATTTACACGTGCCATGCATTTGCTTCCCTGCAGGTTTGGTGCCTTGGCAATGAAAGCCGATACCACATAAACAAGACGGTGGATGGAACCACCTTTTCCGTAGTCATCCCCTCCCTGGTTCCCGGCATCCGATACAGCGTGGAAGTGGCTGCAAGCACTGGGGCAGGACCTGGAGTGAAAAGCGATCCCCAGTTTATCCAGTTAGGTAAGCATCCTGGAAATCCTGCCTATTGGTTTGGGTGATTTCTGTTTGTTTGCTTTTTTGTCTTTTATGGCACCAGAAATTCTTTCAAGACAAGTGAAATAGATAGTGTCACTTGATCTCTGGAATAGCAGCATTTGGCATTTCTGGTCTTAAACTTGCCTTAGAACTGCATTCTAAAGGTGGGATTAAAACAACATGGGGGGGTGGGGTGTGGTTTAATCTCCCAGTTCAGCAGGGCTTTTTAGTAGTTGACTTTTCAAAGTGAATTTTCACCCTTAAGACTAGTGTAATAAAACTTGTAGAGGAATATGAATCATTAGGTGTTGATCCATTTTAGGGATGTAATTTGTCTTGACCAGATTTTATCATTATAGAAGCAAAAAAAGAAACATCCTAAAATTAGGCACAATAAATATTAAGTATGTGTGAAAGCTGGTAAATAACCTGAGTACAGGAAAAAATATGTACACTAATGATTTACTATAATTTGACCTAATCCCATTTATACCAAGCATTGCTGTCATAAATGTTGACCAGGGACATTGCTCCTGGATGTTTTTTTGGGAAAAATGCATCTTTGCTGTTGGTTAGCTGAAGATTATTTAAAGTAGCTTTAAGTATAGTCATATGCTGCTTTATAGTATGCCTAGAGCAAAATACCTTATCATTACAGTATATAATTACAAAAGCAAGCTCAGCATGTTGCTTTGGACTTTATGTTCTGTCTGTCTCTGTATCATTAGAAGATCTACCTTTTTATTTCACTTGTATTTAAAAATCTATAATTAAGAGCATGTGAAAACAAGACAGAGCAACTAATATGGAAAATTACTTGTACATTTCCTTAGGTATTGAAAGGAAGGTCATCTTTAGCTTACTTAAAGTATATGATTCCAAACTACTTTGATGGAGATTTTACAATAAAATTGCATACAGCTTGTATAAGATTCCATTAATATGGAATTATTACAGGAAAACCCTGTATTTATTTGTCGGATTGTTCCTCCCTACAGCCAGCTGCCGTTCACAGCTTTCTACAGCCAGTCAAAATTAAGCTTATTCTATATGGCTTAGGTTTGAAAATTCTGCATTAGTGAGATTTATGAGGATAACCTCAAATGTTCAAAGTCGAAGGCTCCATAACCACTTCTCTTTTTCCCTTTTGTCTGATGATAAGCAAATTCTTAAAGAAGGTGAACTTTATAATGGAACTTAATCACTTTGAGGTTTTGTTAAGTGGAAAAAGAAACATATTGCTTTCACTGCTTGCCTCTGATTAAGTGGCATGCCCAAATCTAGACGTACTGTAAATCCCATAACTTGGTTGTTACATGGCAAAGATGTGGAGACAGGAGTCTTGTATAGATCCATGCCACAAGAAACAGAACGATGAAATATCTAGATGGTGCCAAAACCCTTTCAGCAACTGCAGGAGGCTGCTGAAAATGAGTGCTTAAATTTAAGAGGTAGCACTCTTTGGTAGCACATATCAACCTAAATCATCCAGGCAGAAGAATGGCTGCAGATTATTCAACTATGCCCTGTGATGCAAGTTCTTCTCCAGCCCCCTCAAGGAATTGGATTCCTAGTTCTTAGAAGTGCTCCCAGCATGGGGGTGGAACAGAGTTTTCTGGGTAGCTTTCTGAAGAAAGAAAATTAATTTGTTGATGTCATCAGTTGGCACTTCTCACCTGCAATAAATTACATTGTTACAGAGAGAGGGAGGGGAGGCCAGGGAGTGGGAGGAAAGAGGGCTAAGGATGCTCCTTGTAGGAGGTTTGAAACCCCGATGTGCTGTATATATGTGCTCTAAGAGCTGTGGGACCACTCCAAGCTACTGCATTTCTCACACTGCTCCAAACTATTCCCTCGGGAAATTTTTTCCCGATACCTGAATTGGTGTAATCCTTCATTTAAAAAAAAAAAAAAAGAGAAAAGAAAATAGGAATTCCGTGTGTGAAAGCAGAATATACTGTGTGATTCTGAGGTTCACTTTTGCAATAAGAACTTTTCATTAAAACCCAACATCTCTCTCCTTATAATGTGTTTTTCATACAAATACATGAGACTGGGCTGTGGCTGGCTCTGGGTCTGCTCTTGGAGCCCGTGTGCCGTGTGGGATGCTCCCAGGTTTGTGACTCTGGGACATGCCTGGGCAGAGTCTCAGCCAGGTGTGTGACAGGAGGAAGCTTCACCTTTTGGGGGCTGCCTTCCAGAACGAGAGGGGAGGACAGGAGACATTGGATTCCCTGGGAGCTGGGGCGTGCAATCGCAGTCCCACGCATCAGCTGAGCTGTGATAAATGACCTTGTGCACGCACTTAACCTGTTACAAAGACAGGTACAAATTGTAATCTCGAAGCTCTTTCATTTTCCACGTCCCTGCTGACATGAAGCAGCTCACTGAGCTGTGGTACCCCAGACTTCCCATGCCACCAGGGACAAGCCAACAAAATAACTTGCTTCTTATTCATAAAATCATGAGATCAACTGAAAAACTATGTGTCTCCTTAAAACACCCTGCGTGAAGCTTCTGAGCTTGCCTCTTGGCTTTTGAATGACCTTTTAAAGTTTTCTATGCAATTTCAAGGACTGAAAAAAAGTTTGCTTGTTTGTTGGTTTTAAAAGAAAAGATGATATTTTACATAAAGACTGCAAAAGCTTTGGGAAAAAAAATCGTGAGACCTAGCCACAGCTCACTATATTCTGCGTATAATAATGAGCCATAGAGAAACAAAGCCACAAAAGCTCAATCAAACCTTTCTTTTCTTGTCACAACATGTAACTTAAAGGCATTGTTTACAAAAATGCTCTCTGCAGAGAGATGAGAATTAGCAATTTTTGGCTGTTCTCTAGCCTAGCTTTTGTAGAGTGATGAGATACTACCTGTGCTAGCTTGGCAGTATTACCTATGCCTGTTGACAAATAAGTAGTGGCATTGGGACAGGTTGTGGCATACTTTGTTTCTGGTGCCAGCTCTGAGAAGCCCCCCAGCTGCAGTTAATGTTACTCTTCAGCACACAGTTTGTGTGAATATATGGTATGCAGTTATTTATTATGAAATGACTGCACAAATATTGTAAATGTTGAGAGTATTATTCAACCAATGGATGTCTCAAGTGTACAAAACACAAGAAAGTCTCATTGAATGTTTATTATTCTAATTGCTTCATTTAGGGGATGTGATTTGTGAACTAGCTAACATTCTTTCAGGATATTATTCTGTCAGCCCTTAAGGTACTTCAAGTGTGATAGTTGTAAGGGTTTTTTCGTTGATATTTTTGTTTGTTGCCTGAAAACAACTTAAAAGTAATCTATTTTTACCCCTCACAGTAAACCCTTTCAAATCAGTTTGGTTCTGTCACCTCAAGCTCTGTGTTGTAAGATTGAAGTGCACAACTGATATTTTATCAGTTTGGGAAACATACATCTAGAAAGGAGACAAAATAACATTATTCTTACTTCGGTGATATTTCACCAAATAATTTTCATATTGCATCATGCACATATATTTGAGAAAACACTCAAGCAATATGTTACAGGTTTCAGGTCTTTTGCATGTTCTAAATTGCTGGAATTATCAATGTGAACACCATTTAGATATTCCTACTTAGTGTTTGTATGTTTTGTACACTGAATTAGACACACATATGGAAAAGCACCATTCCATAGGTTGTACATGTAAAAGGCAAATCTAAGTTGCTTGCACACTTGTGAACCTGAAATTTCCTGTCTTTTTTGACTCTTTGGCATTCCAGTCATAAATGGGTATTAATCTTTTATTTGTCTTTTAGCAACTTAAATGTTAACTTTCAGATTATTATTACTTACACAAATAATTAACATTAGAGGATTAGAAGTTCTTCTCTATGTAAATTCTAATTAATTTCCATTGAAGTTTGAAACTTGGAGCTTCAAGACATTTAAATCAAGTGGCTTGTGAGCAAAAGCCCTAGCAACATAATCAGTGATTAAAAAGCAAGTTCTTATCTTGGGGTAGAAGAAGGGATGAGTCACTGTGATAAAATGCTGGTTTCAGGGAGCTGTGGGATCAGCCTGCTCCAACATCTCTGAGGTGTTTCCAAGTACATGAAATGCTGCGGCTGCTGCTCTGGCAGTGGGATAAACTTTGCCATAGAATGTTTATATTCACTTATTGTTTTGGCACATCTCCCTGAAGAGTGCAAGCAGGAACAGGAATGTTCATTATGAACCATCTATATATCAGTCAAAGTTCTGGAAATTTCCTGGGACGAAGAAAAAGTAGATTTTTTAATTATTTTCTTTTTAGTTCAAGAGTTATTTCAAATAATCGAACTGATTATTCCAATGATCCAGCTGATCATTCAGGATCTCACGGGGCTATTAGGAAGAGGGAAGATGCCCTTCTCAAAAAAAGGCTTCCAAGATAACCTTCCTGGAAGTTTTTAGTGGTGAGGAGGTCAATAAATTTCATTCTCTTTATATATAGCTTACTTTCTATTTTTGAATCATAAGAGGAGTAGGATGTAGTTAAAAGCCTTTCCATCTCCTCTTATGTTGTTTTTCGGACTGTATGTGAACACAGCTGTATTTTTCTCTTTCCCATGTGTATAGATATATACCAGTTTATATAATGGCTCTAACAGTCCACCCATATTCAATGTGCCAGAAGCCTAATTTCTTAAATTTCTTTAAGTTCTTACACCTACAATGGCAAGTAAAATCATAGCATGAAATTAATGTTAATTAAAATTAAAATAATAAACAGTCAAAGCTTCTTCAGGATTTTATAGTATTCAGAAACATGTTGACTGAGCAATACAAACTGTTTCTGTATAAAAGTACTGTCTTTCTGTATGACTGAGTTGTTGACATGTTTAGAAAAGATTCTTATTTGGTTTTTGAATTCGTGATTATTTTTTCCTCCTGGATTTATTGTTTTAAAATATATATTTTAAGGATGAGACAAAAAATACTTAACCTTCTCATTTATTCAGGACCACAGGCTCTCCATAAATGTTTTATTCTATTCCATTGAGTTGTATAAGGGACTGTAGCTGTTTAAAAACACAAAAATTACTCATTTAGAAAAGAAGACTGATGATGCAAGTTTTCATATCTTAATATGGCCTCAGCTGCAGAGAAACAAAAGATGAGATGACAGCTCTAATTCATTGGTCACAGTATACTTTATAATTTAAGCCCATCTGGCCACTTGTGTGGAACTTCACTTGGCTGTCTCCATTCAGTCTGAAGCAACCCATCTTAACCTTGCACAAATAGGCGTGAAATCCATAAACCCATCAGACACAAAGAGTGTATTAGTAAGAAAAGAATGAGTCTGCCTGCTGAACTTTCAGGCTAGGCAGTGCACTTAGGCTCACAGAAGATAAAGAGAGCTGAAATATGAAATAAAATTTCCAATAAGGTAGCAGTCAAAGATGGGGGGGATGTTTCTCAGCAAAATAGATATTTGACTTCAAGGTCACAAAAACTGGAATCTGGAATCCTTCGCTGGAAGAAGCTGTTATTAATTTAACCTTTTCTATTCCAAAAGGTATCCTTTTCTAGAGGAAATAATTAGTTGTGATTACATCTCTTGTTCGTACTGCAGTTTCTTATATTTTATGTAGGCTTATTTTGGCATAATGCAAGATGTCATCATAAAAAAAAAATCAGTTCACTGCTTAATTCATAGGGAAAAGATACTGGTTTTAAGCAAATAAGTTTTAATTTCTTACATAGTTCATATTAATAGAATTAATGACAGCACCTAGAATTAATAACAGTACCTTTCTCTTGTTCTGAATTTGGTGTCACTACCAATAGTATAAAGCAGCTATTTCTTGGATTTGTACAGGAGTAAAAGTGGGTATTTCAAAGACCAAGCTGTGGAATGTGTAAAGCAATATCCTCTCTGAGTAAAGGCATTGAATTCTTGCCCTCTGTCTGTGCACTAATGAAATTTCCAGTGAGCACTCACTGTGGTGGTAAAGCGTCAGGAAGGCAGTATTCTGGCTTTGAGTTGCTTCACTTCAGTCAGGAAGCTTGGTCACTAACTGGGTCTTCCTACTGCTGTTCCTAGAAGGTTCCTGCAGAAGTTCAGTACAGAAAGAGCAGAAAAGACCAATTCTTAAAGCTGCTGTCTCTATAAAAAAAAAAGCTAAAAAAAAAATAAAATTAATAGCCTGTGGAAAAATCCATGGGTTTTTTATGTGGGTTATTTAAGGCTAAACTAAAAAGCACTACTTGTTCATTACTGATGAAACTCCTTAGCTGGTTTTAGCAATTCATGAGTCGTTCTTTAGTTATCCTTTAGTTTATCACCCGTATTTAAGGGGTCAGGATTGGTTATTTTGTAGTTTTACTTTTCTACATCCTTTTAAATATTCAGTCTTTTTTAATTGAGGTCAAAGTGAGAGACTGAGAGACTGCAAGCGGTACATTAGACTGTGTAATACAAGATTTAAGTAATCTGTCAAGAACTGCTAGATTAAAATATCTCCCTCAATACCAACCTCATGTGAATGTAGTTTAAATTTGTAACTGTGATTGTCAGTTCTGAGAGTGAATGTTTGGGGAGTTGACTTGTACCCATTCATGTTGTTACTCATGTTTTACTAGAGCTTTTTTTGACTTGGTATGTTTGTTGCTGATTTTCTGAATCATTTTCCGAAGCTGATGTTGCATTTTTAAAATTAAAGAAAAATAAAAAAATAGCAGTCCACAGGTTTGTAATTTAGGAGACTTTGTATACCTGGTAGCCTGATCTTAGCAGCTTTTGTAAGCAAACAAAAGTCAATGATACTGGCAGTACTGTTTTGTACAGAAAATAAACCACTTCTGTCTAGAGCTGTAAAAGTTAGATTTTGAAGAGCAGTCTTAAGGATTTTACCTTGAGAAACAGGACTGCAATTATATCAGCTCTTTTCATGCTGCCTTTTACAGCTGTTCATTCAAATTAATTGGCTGTTACGGGTGTCTCTGTTTCAGATTCTCATGGAAACCCTGTGTCTTCAGAAGATCAAGTCAGTTTAGCCCAGCAGATTTCTGATGTAGTAAAGCAGCCTGCCTTTATTGCTGGAATTGGTGCAGCCTGTTGGATTATCCTCATGGTCTTCAGCATCTGGTTGTATCGCCACAGGAAGAAGAGGAATGGACTCACGAGTACTTACGCTGGTATCAGAAAAGGTGCCCTCTTATCTGTTTCAGTCTGCTGGCTGCTGAATGCCTGTTTGCTGCCTATTTGTTTTGTCATCAGTCTCTTGTTCTTCTCCTGCTCAAATAAGGAATTATCAGCTTACTTGAGTACTTTTCATGAAGTGTGGGTCGGGAACCAGCGCAGAGAGTGGCAATATTTACATAATGTGCATAAAGTCTGGCTTTAAAGCATAAATCTTGAGCTGAGCACCAGGAGTAGCTTTTTATAAAGATATTTTTACAAAGGAGAAGTGTTTAAGGCCAGGAGCTTCCAATATGCCCTTGCTGTCTGACACTGTATCACGTGAAGAGGAGCTGTCTGAAGTGGATGGCAGCTCCTTGTCCCCCCGTTGAGTGCTTTGCTGGGAGCTCTAACAGTGGTGAGCACTGCAGTAACACTTTGGGTGTGGGTACTCAAATTTCTTCTCTTCTGGGGGAAGCGTCGCTGTTCGCAAAAGCACAAGGGTCAGTCTGCTTTCCAAGACTCTTTTCATAAATGCTGTTGTGACACACTTGGCTGGGACTGAGTTCTGGGGGCATCCTACATCTGTGTTTAATTAGAATGGCAGTAACTTAAAGCACTCCTCATTTTCATGTTATTTCATGTTATTGGTACTTCTTATATATCACACTGTCAGTGGTCAAACAGTGCTTTGCAGTATACTCTTAAACAAAACTAGAACCTCTACCTGGAAGATCTTCTGGAATAAAAACTTGACTCCTCCACCTCAAATAATTTCCAGGTTAAGCCTGGAAATTAAAGCTGAATTCAATGAGCTACAGTTCATTACATCTCAAAGCAGTAGCTCATAGGCGCTTGTAGAGTGAGAACCATACATTTTGGAACAAATGGGAAAATGGGATATCCTGCTTTTGAAGAACTGGAGGAATTATAGTTGACATTTAGCAATCAGAAGACAGGCCTAGATTTAAAAGGTGGATGCATCTTCATGTATGAAAGATGTCATGACATTACGTTCTTTAGTCCCTGAAAATGAATGTGTTATGGGCAGGACAGATCAAACACAAATGGTTTTAAGCAGCAGCAATACATTGCTGTGTAAAAGATGCAATGCTAAAAATAGCAAATGAGTGAGTGGAAATGTGGAAATACATCTGGAGTGTTGCAGAGTTGAGGTGTCCTCCGTGCTATTAAAGTACCAGTGCTCACTGTGGGCTCCAGGCCCGGTGGTCGTAGTGGAGTTGCAGCCAAGGAAAAAGGGAAGGAGCTGCACCCTTGATTGTGTTCTGCTGGGATTTCTTAGGCAGGACAGCCCCTCAGTAGTGCTGCACTGGCCTGCGCTGTTTTGTTTTACTAATAGCATGCTGCCACATTGCCTTTCTACAGCTCTATCACACTAACATCACTGTGCTTTCACCAGTACCTATGATTAAGCAAAAGGCATACAATTTGTCCTTAAAACGGTTACTTCAGTGACATCAGCTATTGTTCAAAACAGCTGTGTTTTTCAATATCGTTAAAAATATCTTTTGTGTAGTTTGGGGGGAGTTTAAATGAAAGTGTACAGCAAAGTAGGGTATGTATCTCTGGTATCAAGTATTCTTCAGAGACAAAACCTATCTTTAGTGAAATATGAATTGCAAAGTAGTTTGCCACTCTGCAGTTCATCAAGTCATCACCGCAAGCCCAAACTTTCTTCAGTCTTGCATTTATTTATTTTTATATTTAGCTTCAGGCCTGTCATCTGTTAAAATACTTCACTACTCCCACACATACATACTGTACTAGCAGTTTTACACACTCAGAAGAGTTTATTAATAGAAGCTCTAAGAATTAAGTCATTCTTTCATGTGGTAGCAATAATATTTCTTTCAGTTCCTTAAGAAACTAAACTAGGTTTAGTACTTAGCTCACGGAAGAGTAACAAGACAATAGCTTGAGATTATTTTTCATGTCCTTGTGATTGCAAATTAATTTTGAGATTCTTGATTCTCTTTGGAATAGCTCAGGTTTAAATGCCCACTCTATTTTAATGAACGCTTGTTACTATGGTTCTACATTTTGTATCTAAATTAAACTTGACTATGTAAAAATGCCTAGCTCAAAGCAAATACAATGGTATTCCTGAGATAAAGAGCTTTACTGCAAATGCAACCTGAAATGGGCAAATGCTCCACTTTTTTTATTATTTTCTTAGTGTCATGGAAATAAATTAGCTTGGTTAAATGGAGGGCAAATGTACAGCATATCCTAAGTTACAACAACAATGCACGCTGCACTCCCTACAAACTTTAGAGTTCTTAAAAAAATAAGATTAAGTTGTTTTCTTAGCCAGAACATTTTCTTTCCATTCTGGGTTTGCTCATCACCTTCTGTTTCCAGGCTGTTTCAGTGAATATTTGATTGTTTCTCTTACCTCTTGCTGTCATCAGATCAGAAAGGGCAATGTAAGCCTTGTTCTGCCATCAGTGAGAGGAAAACGATACTGTCTTGTCAACAGGAGGGGGAGCATGTGCTAATAGGAAGAGCAGATGCTGGTGCTCTGTATTTGGATTAGAGACCCTATTGATCCAAAGAGGATTTATAGTAGCTGTGAGAGAGAAGATTGTCAAGCACTGTCATTGTTCTGTTGTTAACCTTTCCCTCTTAAAGCCAAGGGTTGGAAGGTAGAAAGGTGTTATATCTAGGGAGATTTTTTTTTTTTTTGTGATTATTTAAGAGGGAAAGATAATAACTCTGTTTAACAGTCTTATCTCTGAAAACAAAAATTAATTGCTGCAGTAGAATTTCGTGTCTTTATTAGAGTGAGAGTTGGTGCCATTCATGATTCAGAGACAGTAAAACAGCAGTTCTCTTTGTTCTTTTTTATGATTATTATTTCCTTACTGAATACTTAAGTGTGCCTATTAGTTCAGTGTAATGAGCATTTACTTAGTGAACTGAAGATAAGATTCAATAGGACCTTGATAAGGCTTTGTTAAGGAATTTGTCATTCTGCATTCTAGAATGATTAACAGTGTGGGGGTTTTGTTTGTGCTAGGATTTTCTGAAAAAAAACCTTAAAATACCAAACTGAGAAGGATTTGAACGGATAAAGCACAGTCTCTTGCCCTCAGGAGCACAATAGAATATCAAGCTTTTTTGCTTTTTTTTTTGCCTTTTTTTTTTTTCTTTCCAGAATAGTACCAGCAGAGACAATCTGAATTGTAATTTTAGTTTTATTTTTATATCAATGTGACTGAACTAGTGGGTTAGTTATATTTATTTGTTTTATGTTCAGCTGTCTGCTAGATTTATACTAATGTGGTATGTTTCCCTTTCTCTCTTCAGCTTAATAACCAGTTTGTATTTTGTTTTGATTTTTCAGTCCCGTCTTTTACCTTCACACCAACAGGTATATATTTGCACTTTTCCCCCCTTCTTTGTTACTTAAGCATGTGTTTGTGGTACTATTTCTCTTTCTCTGACATAACCAACCAGCCCAGCTGTTCTGAAGGGGCTTTTTTAAACAATGTCATTAATGGCAGGTATCATTATTTGTTCTCTGAGTAATGTGCATTTGCTTTGTGGCTGACAATATTTTCTATTTGTGTGTACCATTTCATAGCACACCATTCCACGCCAGCATGCCATTCTGTAGCATGATCCTGTCAGTTTGTACACCCTGGGCTCTCTTCCTGCATATTCCAAGGGAGTAGTGTGACCTCCCACATCTAGCAATGCAAAAGGTGCTTCTGATGGAGGAGGAATGAGTTAGCAGAGCCCAGATGCTGACTTGAAAGAGATTCAGTGAGATTATAGTTGGTGAAATATTTGTTCCTTTTCCTTCCTCTGAATCTGCATTAATCCAGTGACCCCAGTGTTGTCTGCTTTGGAAGATACAGAAAATCAAAGCGTTACAGCAGTTAGATTTCTCTGCTTGCTGCCTTAAATGGTATTTTTCTATGAAATTTTAAAATAATTATCCTGTTCATCTTAAAAGGAGGTTCATTTCAAAATCGGTGTGAGTTTAAAATCACCTTCTGTTTAGTTTTGTTTAGAAATGTGCAAAACATGACATAATGTGAACCATAGCCCACCAAAGCCCATGAGAGCCTTTCCATCCTGTAGAGCTGACCTCCAGTGGGTCCTGCAGTCTGACAGCTGAGCAGCTCATCCTCTGCAGTGGATAAAATCCAGCACATTCTGTACCCATCAGTGTTCTGCTTTTCTTTTAGCCACAGCCTGAATGAGCAGACAGGTTGTTTCTTCCTCCTTTGTTCTAAATCCTCCTTTTTCACAAGAGACCTATGAGACTTGTAGGACGTGTATATATCCCGGCAGGGTGAAACCCACCCGGCCCCTCCTCTGCACACACACTTTCCCAGGGAAGATGAGCTTTTAATCAGCACTGTGCTGATGTGGCCTCTGTGCAGGTGACATCCTTGAAGCTGGACCGCAGAGGAGGCGCACCCCGCGTGCCTGCGCCCATCCGCACGGACCGGGCTGTGCTGGGCTGATTTACCCATGTGCTTGTAACCCAGCTGGGGAGTGCCTGCTCTCAGAAGTCAGCCTGTCATGTTCAGTGGAGCTGCTTCCTGTTCAGCATGAGCCAGAGTGGCCTTCGATGTTTCTCTAAGGCCTCTGAGTGCCTCGGTGGAGAATAATTCCAACTCTTTATTATTTTGCTGTTCCTTTAATTGGCTAAACAGAGGGTTTCGATTGTAGTCTCCATTGTAGCACGCCACTGAAATTCTGCAGAGGTTGGAAGCTAGCATCTATTCTCTCCATTGCATTCTTAACATTAAAAGAAAATATCAGTGCTCCTTAAGATATGTCAGAGCTGGAAAATAAATAGCCCTGGGATTCTTAAAGAAGAAATTGGGAAAAACATAAGGCATATAAAAAACACTTAAAAGAAAAAAATCCTTGTTTTCCAGTCCAGGATCTCAGTCATGCTTTGACTTTTAAATGGAACCAGGCTCCCCTCTGTATCATTACCTGCAGTAAAAGAGTTACCTGTAGGAATGCATCCTACATTTTAATCCTGTTACTGTAATCACTGCCAGCATTTATCTCTCTCTTGCAGACTCCCAGTTTGGAGTTCTTTTAAAGAGCAGAATTTGGCTGCTTGTTTTCAGCGCATTCCTAGCTGAAAAGTGTAGAATCCATCAGCATCTGCAGGGAGTTCAGTCTCCTTAACCCTTTGCCAAACCCTATGCAAACCTGCAAAATCTATAGTACTGTTTCTTCTTGGATGTTTGCATCCTAAAAGCTAACTTCTCAAACATCTTGCTTCCTATGAAGGATATGCAATCCATGCCAACAAACAAATGCATGTGGACATCCACTTTGATAATGGAGAATACTTCTGTAATTCTAGAAAAATTGTTCCTTCTAATTTAGAAAGTGCCCTTTCTGCCAGGCTGTTCTTAACCAACATTTATATATTTAAATTTTTAGATTATTTAGTATAATTTATAAATGCAGTTGTAAAATGTTACAAAATGTGGATTTTTTGTGGACTTCTAGAGTGTGCTTGCTCCCTGAGTTTATTGCAGTAACATTCAGAAAGACCATTTGTTTTAGCAGTAGCTTCAGCTGTAATGAGCCAGTATTTACATTGGAAGTAAGCTCTGTTATAGAAGGTCTGTTAAAGAGAATGATACCTCTTTAATCTTGCCAAAATAATAAGGTAGAGCAAAGGTTTAACATCCAGCCATTCATGAAATAAATATATGACCTAAATTCTTCCACAGAGTAACTCCACTGAAGTCAGCAGAGTTATGTTAAGAATAAGTTCAACCTGATGTATGGCTTCCTGATTTCTTAAGCAATACATATGTGTGTGTGTGTGTGTGTGTGTGTCAGAACAGAAATGAAATATAAAACCCTGTTGGGGGCTAAGACTAGCAAATATCAAACAGCACAAGTATTATGTCTAGACTTGGATTTGAAGTAGCAGCTTGCAGAATGAGATTCAGAATTAATGTATAAACAATGCACAATTATTGTCTTAGATAAAATGAAACAAAGGCAAACTAAATATTGTTATTGAAGGAGTCTTGTATAATTTTTAAATTTTTTCCTTCTTTTTATTTTTAACTATTTCAGTAACATATCAGAGAGGAGGAGAGGCCGTAAGCAGTGGAGGCAGGTAATTATGTGCTTTATTCTTACAGGTATAAATTGTGTGCAAATAAATTTAAGGATTCCAGGAGTTCAATTATCCTTGTAAGTGATGGCAGAAAAATCATTGGCAGAGATATGTTTTAGTTCATTATATTAACCTATACATTTTGGCCATATATTTTCTGTTTAGAAGGAGGGTATATGGTTTGAATTTTTAGGTTGACTCCCAAAACATAATTTGAAATATTTTCAGCTTTGTTAACCTGTAAAAACTGCATCTCAAAAAATGAGCAGCAGAGGGAGTGCTTTAACTTCAAAATAAAGACCTGGCTTTCCACCTGATTAAGGGAGTAAAAGTAATTAAGTCATGGCCTTTATGAAGATTAAGAAATATAGCTGCTTCACAAATACTACGAAGAAAGAAAACGTTTATTGGAAAAAATTGTTGAAGACATAAATGGCTTATGAGATGACATTTTAAGAAAAAAAGAAATCTTTCTGTGAATGCAAAACAGGTAAAACATTGCTTAAAACAGATGGGGCACTGAAGGAGAGGGAAGCAGGTTGTAAATTTTTAACCACCCACTCTGAGAACCAGGTCCATTCCAGACTGAGGATTTACCTAAGGCATGTTCACTGGGTTTATGCTATTACTTAATGAATGGCCGTGGAGAAAACAGTAATTTGCATTTCCTCTGTAGGGGTGAAGGTTTCTTCAGGAAGAAAAATAATTGTTTTAGCAAAAAGGCAGGTCAGAGCAGTGGTGCTTTAGTAGCACACCATTTTTTTCTAGGTCACATTCAAAGATCTGGCATGATGCTGAAATAATGCTAAAATCTCAGAGACCAGCTGGGCAACAAAGTCCTGTTACAATTCCTGTTCACAAGTGGCATCCTGTGATTCCTAATTTGCAAGACCATGCAAACATTTGGTAATTGTAAAGGTTAGGGATAAAATAAAGCATTTCCAGTCTACTTGAGTGCTGTGCAGAGGTGAGGCTATTCAGGTCCTGCTGCAGCTGGACCTGGCATGTTATGAGGAATTGCAGATGTCTCTGTCCAGCCCTGTGTGTTGCTGTGCTCTCATGGCCATAGGAGCATGGAGGGAACCCTCTAGAACAGTCACCATGTGATTCTTGAATGGAAAAATCTGTAAATCACTGGGTTGCTGCCCTTACTCCAGGATAGTAAGAAAATAGGAGAGGAGAGAGATGAACCCTCTCTTTCCTTGAGAGTTGTTCAAAAAGATACTCAGCTAACATCCTTCGTGTTCTTTGTGCCACTGTGCTTTCTGTCTCTTCCCTTAGCACAGGCTAGATGAAGCACTCTCACACAGAGGACAGAAATGAGCCCAAAAGTGTCTACATCATGCACAGTAATTTTGGTTCTTCTAGAGAATCAACTTCAATTTTACTGTCCTAGTGTTAAGTATCAGTGCCAGAATCTAACAATGTGATTGATTCAAGGTGCAAACATCTGTGCTGGTTTTGTTCATTTGCATCTATAGCATTGACAGCAGGTGTGATGTAACTTATTTTGTAGAATATGAAACATAGTTCTGCAATGGTAAAAAAAAAATAGAAAAAAGTTGGGTTTTTTTTGCTTGTGAAACCATCCTCTGATATCCAAACCTAAGGTTTTCACTTCCTTACTTTATATTTGCAGTGTTTTAGAAAGGTTTAGCATTTTTTGCCAACTGCAGTTATGTGAGCATGTTAAAGCATTTTTCAGATTTCAAAATGTCACAGTGATATATTTCAATGTAATCCCTACTTGTGTGATGCTGAAAAAATGCCCATTTCTGTGGCAATCCCTTTTCTAGACAGGATTTGAGTAGTGGTAATTGTGCTGGATTGACTCCAGCTAGCACCCACACAGCAACTTGGCTCTGTCCACCCCTTCCTCAGACCCCCATCCAGTAATTCAGGGAGCAGAGAAATTTGCTGCCAAGGTTAAAGATCTTTGCAAATTACGATCTCAAATCATCACCAGGCTATGGAGCTGTAATGCAAGCATCTCTTGCCTACAGTTCCACTTAAATGGGTCCAATTAGTAGAATTCTCATCTGCTTATGTACATCACACCACATTTCTTACATGACAGCAGGTGTGAATGCAAAGTAAATTTTAGAAACAAAGGATCTTTAATTCTCTGTGCAAAAATCCAGTACACAGATCTTTAAAGTGCTGAAACATTCTGGGATGCTTTGTCTCCTCTAAATGCCTTGAAGTGTAGGTTCATTGTAAGAGCAGAGTGTAGGGAAAAATGCAGGGAATTTCAAATCAGCTGGCCTGCTCACAGACCTACACATCTGTATATTTATTTCAGGTTTTTTTTTAAAAAAATAACTTCTTTACTGAATGCATATTGGCTGGTTTGTATGCCTGACAGCAAGTCAAGCCTCATCACCTCCTATGTTAAATTGTCAGATGACATATGCAGTACAGAAATATATATATATACACACATATATATGTATAGGTCTTTTAAATGTCATTCTAAGTCTATGACTTAAGCCCGCAGCACTGACAGACTCTATCCCCCACAAATAACTGCATGCAGCTTGTATTTTCAACTTGCAGTTTAAGAGGATTAGCATATTTTATTTTTGAAGATCATCACATCTAATATTATGGAAAATAGTTTCTGTGCTATTTCAAATGGAAAGTTGCCTGTTAAATCCCAAGAGAAGGGGACTGTGTTCATATATGTCTATGTGACAGTAGCGAAAATTATCTATTTTTTAAAAGCACCTTAGTTATCAAAGGCAATTTTAAATTGTGTGGGACTGTAATGTGCTGTTGCATTGTTAGCTTGGAGACTAAAGAGCCACCAAAGATTCTACAGAACATTCATCAGAGAGCCTTTCACACTCACTGCAAAAATTCAGCAACTTGGAAAACAAGAAATGCTGTTTCTTTCTGCTGATGACAGGAGTACACTTTATTCCAAATGCAGCCAGGACACAGCATTCATATCTGGACATTTTTCAGGTGGTCAGTATTCCCAAGTACCATACTCTCTTAGGAGCTGAGTGGTTTTCCCGTGAACAAGTGTGTGTAACTCGCTCAGCATTAGTCAGATCCAAATGCTCCCAAGCCACAGAGGTTTCTGTTGTCTGCTGTTCCCTTTGATGCACCACCTTAGTACTGTCTGGTGGTGAGGAGAACCTGTTCCATAAATAACCAAGAATTTGGGAATAGTCACATTTGAATTTGCCTCTTACTTATGCATATCCATCCTGCTTCCATGTGTGCGTTTTTTGTTCACTTGATTTGCCAGTTTCCTCTTTTTTACCTTGCTTTCTTTAAGAAGGGGTGAAGGGGCAGAAAAATAAAAGTGTAACCTCCTAAGAGAAAAAAAAAAATTAAAAAATTAAAACCAAAGTGACAGGTAAATGTTGCACACCAACCTGTAGTGTAGTTCAGTAAAAATATTTGATGCTGTCCTTGACTGCTCACTCCTGAGGGATTTAGCAAGGGACAAGTTAGACAGGAGACTTGAAAATGCTAAATAATTGAATTAAGCTGTGTTTTTCAGTTCTCAAGACTGTTGGTACATGGGATTATTTTGTAACGTCTCTGCCCTTTGGGAAGAGTGTCACTGCAATGTGAAAATGCTTTTGTTTAATTTTTGAAATGACCAAGCTTTGTTTTTAAAGGCCTGGACTCCTAAACATCAGTGAACCGGCCACTCAGCCGTGGTTAGCAGATACTTGGCCTAACACAGGGAACAATCACAATGACTGCTCCATCAACTGCTGCACCTCTGGCAATGGCAACAGTGATAGCAACCTTACAACGTACAGTCGACCAGGTTAGATATGTTTCTACCTTGCTAAGGAATCTTCTTTACAGAGTATGTGCTTCTAATACCTGACAGAGAGTACAGGTTTGTTTGGGTTTTTATTTCCAATGCTTTTAGGCTTAATATAGTGTCTCCTCTGTGTCATGAATGTGATTTTGGTCTCTTTTTTGGATCCTTTCTTGGTCCTCTTTAGATAGTTGTAGCAGGAGCCCCTGCAAAGTTCAATGCTGCCAAAACTCACACTGAACTAATACATTTTGGCTTCTGAATAGAGAAGATAAGATCATTTTTGGGTTGTTCTGTACATCCTTGTTGCTTGGATGGAGAAAGAGAAATACCAAAATTATGCTAATGTGTTTTTCCTTCCGGGTTTGGACGTGATGGGAAGCAAGAAATAAAACATTGCTGCAGTGCTTGCAACAAAGTCAGTCTGTTTTGTCACACTCAGAACTTCATTTTGAGTGCCATTCTGAACAAAATTGGATAGATGGTGTTCTGTTTAGGGTATGTGAATAAAGAGGTTAATGTCACACACTTAAAGCAATTATAAAATGTTAAGTGGTAGTTCCTGGGAGCTTGAGCAGGACTCAGAGAGCTCTGGAAGAAAACCTCACGGAACACATTTGAGGAAATACATCTCAGAGTGCTAATTATTGCACATTTTATTTTAAACAGACCTTAGGTTCCTTCTGGTTTAACCTAGCGTTACTGGTGAGGAATTAAATAAGCCTTTTTTACTAGTATCTCTACTGTTTTTTGCTGGTAGCATGTCCCAGCAATCCAGAGGGGCAGTATGTGACAAGTGCCAAGCAACACTGCCTCTTGTAATTAATGTGAAACCAGCTCAAATGGCTGGTAATTCATGAGTGGTGGTAATGGAAATTCATCTCCTGCAGTAATGCTGTCTGACAGTGACCAGTGCCAGCTGCTTCAGAGCAAGGTGAGAGATTTTGGCATCAGAAACTTGTCTCTCACTCTGGCTGAGGATACCACATCCACCAGTACCTGTATAATAAAAAGGTTTGTGATTCAGAGATAGTTTACTGTGGCAAGGACAGACATAGCAAGTTCTGGTAACTAACAAATTCAGAAAAGGAAGAGAAGGCACATTTTTGATGGTTGCAACCTTTTATAACATCTTATACTGAACTGCAGTTGACTCTCCCTCACTTTAGGTTTCATATTAAGCTTGGTTCTGTCACCATGTGTTTCCTTCCTTTCAAGTTGAACTTTGGAGCTTGCAGGTCAGACAATGTGCTCAGCGTGGCCTCTTCTTTCCTGGAAGTTCTGCCAAATATTCTAAATTCTGTCATCATGGGCTGGTTTATGCTCTGCTGCAGCAGCAATGGATATCCCCTCAGTAGTTCTGAATATGCAAAGTAGCTGCATTTTTAATTGCTTTTAAGCAGAGCACTGTCTTCCAAGTCTACAGAACGGGAAACAATTGTTCCAAAAGTAGATACCATAAAAAATCTAACTAGATAAATCTTCTCTTGTGTAGGTAAACCAGTTTTAAGTACTTGTTATGAGGAATTCTAATGTGTCTATGTAAAAAATGTACCATATACTGTATTGATTATACTGTCTTACAAATCAGATGTAGCTGCAAATGAAAGGAGCTTCTTTTATATGTTATAAGTGACTCTTCAAGGATATTGTAGCAAAGCCTGAAGTATCAGGAGTGAAGAATGTACTGTATATATAATTTCCCTGGATAATTCAGTAAACTTGGAAAGGAGGAAAGACTGTGGTATGGTTTCAGTAGGTGAGAGTAATGAAAACAGTTAAACTCTAGAAATCAAGAAGTTGAAGACTGTGAAGCAATAAATAACAGAGGCAGTAAATAACACCTCACATAAGAAGGAAAAATACATCAAACAGTAAAACCTTCAAAAAAACCCACAGGCTGGGGGGCATGAAATGTGCAGTGATAAGTTCTATGTGGCATGTTCTGATACTGTTCCTTAGTCACTAAAAATGTGGATTGGTGGTTTTCTTATACAAGCATTATTTTATTCCCCTTTCTCGGGTAATACACCTCTAAAAATATGTATGTATTAGGGAATGTTTTTGAAATTGAAAATCCTCTATGTTTGCTAGTTATTTCATTTAGAGTAATGGTAAAATCTTGAATTCTGTATGTAGTTTGACTTGGCATCCTCTCCGGTAAATTCATTGTGGACACAGATAATGGACTTGGGGTTTTGAATCAAATTCATTAGCATAAATACCACTTCTTTTAAAAGAGGAAAACTATATTCCTGGTGAGTGTTATGTATTGATGCATTAATCAACTGGAAAATGAGAATTTTTGCTTAAGAATCATTGAATGCTAGTTCCACTAAGCCTTCTAACTGCTGACCCACAGAGTACTTTACTTCATTCAGTATTCTCCCAGTGGACTGGATGTGGAGAGGAAAAAATATGTGGGCATCCTGTCACACAGTGGCAAGAGAACATGTCAAGGCAGCGACACTGTTTCATGCAGTAGTGGCCAGAGCATCAGCAGATGTCAATTTACTGTCTGCAATAGGTGGTGGTCTCAGGATGCAGTGTCAGAAGAATGAATTCATGCTGTCTATACGATATATCTTGAGCATACAGGACAATGTAATACTGTGCTAGTACGTATTTTGCAATATCCAAAAAAAACCTGAAAATCGGCAAAAATTCCAGATTGCTTTTCTGCCTTTTTTGTTTCAAGTTAAAATACAAAATTGTACAAGCAAACGATGATCAAATAAAGACTTGCTGCTGGGTACTGAGTTACCTTTTACATTGTACTGTTTTTCTTTAATTATCTTATATGTAATCATTTTTAAGTCTGTTTTATGAAAACCTGTTGTATGTCTATTTCTTACCACAAATACAAGAGTGTCTAGATACTGTTGAGGTGACATGAGATGATGGGCTTATTTAGTTACTCCTGCTGTTAAGTTTTGGTTGAATTTTTCTTTCAATGCAAGTGATTTTAATCACAGTTACTAATTGAATATATATACATCTGTGAGAATAATATCTAAAAAACATGAATGTTTATATGGCCACTATGGAGAAGCCCAGCAAGGTAAGTCATTGCAGATATAATTCAGCAGGTCTGAATTTACAATGAATCAGAACAGTAAACCCTGCTTTTGGAGCAGTAGTGCATAAGGTAAATAATTTTCTGTAAATTATATAGTTAATGGCAGTATCTCTGCCTCAGTGTGTCTGCTACATGGATTCAAGCCATGTAGCTGTGCAGTGAGGAAATGTTAGAGGGGGTTTCATGGAAAGTCTGGTGTGAGCGAACAGAATGACCTTCTCTCTTTTCTCTCCTCTGTGGTTAGCCGATTGTATAGCAAATTACAACAATCAGCTGGACAACAAGCAGACAAACCTGATGTTGCCTGAGTCAACTGTATATGGGGACGTGGACCTCAGCAACAAAATCAATGAGATGAAAACCTTCAATAGTCCAAATCTAAAGGATGGAAGATTTGTCAGCCAGCCTGGGCAGCCCACTCCTTATGCCACCACTCAGCTCATCCAGTCCAGTATCAGCAATAATGTTAACAATGGCAGCGGGGACACGAATGAGAAACACTGGAAACCCTCTGTTCAGCAAAAGCAAGAGGTTCCACCCATACAGTACAACATTATGGAGCAAAACAAATTAAACAAAGGTGAAGAGCTTTTAGCTTGTTTCTCCTCTTTAGGCATCAGAGGAGTTTTGACCTTCTGGTTCTGGGAGTCTAAAGCTTTCAGGTTCAGCAATTACAGGCTTCTGTGGTGCTTTTAGACTTCTGCCTCTTTAGATTCAGAAATACACCCTTAGCAGTGTCAGAAAGTTAATTAGCACCACAATAACCTTTCTGATATTGAATTTATTGTAAAAAATAACAAGCTGTATCTTTAGAAAAGAGTTAAATAAAATACATTTCCTATGGATATGAGATTAATTTAAATTTAATAGTAGTTAAGGGATTGGTTAGGACAGAGGCCAGATATTTTATTCATAAGCCAGATGCATGGTAGTCACATTATACTCTACCTTAAATTTTAAATAGGTCAACCCACTCTTCCCAGTCGTGGATGGAGACTCATTAAATGTACATGTTCATGTAAACGAATGAAATTTTGCATATCAAACTTTGTAAAATTGTATTGTGGTTGTACACTGGGGACACAAATGGAGTGATCCAATTCATTTTAGACTTGTTCATAGCAAGCCTTCAATTCTCACATTCAGAGGCAATGCTACCACACACAATTTTGGAAACTAAATTCTTGTGTTACCCTGACTGAAGTCTGTGGATCCAGAAGCTAAAAATAAATTGATTTCAGTGTTAACGGGAAACATCAGAATGTGCTTTTGAGGCCTTGAAGGCATGTTTCTTTAATATACTGTGTGGGAGCTGGAAGAAATAGGTATGTGATTTCTTCTTTCTAGTCCTCCAGGCTACCATGCAACCTCTTTTAATGACCTGATTTGCAAAACAGTATCCCTAGGAGCTGGACCCATTCTAACGTGGAACTTTTTGCATGGATTGTTGTAACTCAAGTGATCGCATAGTGAGAAGTGATCCAGTAAAAAGAAACATTTCATTACAGGAATTTTGATTTCTCTACCGGACCCATCTACTCACAGAGGAGTTCAAAGGGCAATGTAAAATGTCACACCTTCCCTTGGCATAAAAATGCCAAAAGAAAATTCAAGGGTTTTGGCTCCTTACTAGAGGGTGAAAGCTGTATATTTTGTAATTGTTCTCTTTCATGAACTGTGTATTACGTACCTCTTTGGGAATTAAAACATGTTTGGTTTTTATGTGCTGAAAGATACTGCATCTTTCAAACTGTGTACATTACAGCTGCATATTCTCTAGCATACTGTAGTGTGGAAAGGCCCCCTTAAAGCATTGTCTGCTGACAGTCATATATACATATTTCAGAGTGCTGATTTACTGTTTATCCTCTGTGTAAACATATGCGGTATGTAGGGCTTCAGCATGGTCTGTGGAATGCAACTAGGCTGAGAAACTATTACAGAATACACTCTGGTGTGGAATTTATCATTTTGCTCTTTTTCCCATGCTTACATTATCACAAACATTTCTGCAGCAGATGGGGACTGAATTCTTAGTTTTGTTTATTTTTGTTTTGGTTTGCTATTTTATGAGTCAATATTCTGATCCTGGTTTTCTCATTTGCTAAGTCAAAGCCATCTTGCTGCTGATTATACCTTTAGTTTTTGTGATAGGAAGTAACTATTTTGATGAGTTACATGCTGTGCTTCATTGTCACTACTTTATGTCCAGTGGTTCTGTTTATGATGCAGTTTTATTTGCTGTATGAAGAGTAACCTACCTCCTTTCTGTTCTCTGTAAACTGTAATTGCTTTTTAGCACAAGAGTATTGTTCTGACAGATGAGTATTTGTGATGAAGTTTTACAGATCTGGTTGCCAGATCTAGATTTAAAAGTAATAAGTGTATACCAAGTGCTTTGGAACTGGAGAGCAGTTATGGTAACAGCTATTAGCAAAAAGGGCCCTGACTGTAGAACCTGCATGATCAAGTATAAATAAAAATATTCTGGTTGCCAGCAGACCTGAAACAAAGGTCTTTTATTGTGATCCAAATTCAGTTGGAGCTGTATTGTTGCTCCAGAAGCTCATTCAGCCCTTGTCAGGCAGAGCTGACTCCTATGTGGGTGTGTCACCTTTGAAATACCAAAAGTAGATACTGCAGTCCATTGGCTGGCCTGCATGCACAAATTAGGCAGAGAGCATGGAAAATCAATCAAGGCGACAGTATTTGTATGCAAAATGCTCACACAGGTATAAGATAGATTAGACAGACAGACAGATAGACAGATAGATAGATAGATAGATAGATAGATAGACAAATCCATTGAGACTTGATCATTGCAGAGACTTTGTGAAAGCCCTGTGCACAGGGTTCCAATTTTACTGCATTTTAGCTGTGCAGCTACTAAGTTCCCATGATTTCTCCTAAGCCTACAACAAGAGGCAAGATAAAAATAAAACATGATTGCAGGATGATTTTTTTTTCATGAAATGAATTTGTTTCTAATTTGCTGTTTTCAGGAGATCTTACTTTGTGTTATAAAGCAAGTACATAAAAGTAGATGTGTTCCTGAAGGGCAGCATTAACCATACCATTAAACTTGCAGATTACCGAGTAAATGACAACATTGCTCCAACTATTCCCTACAATCAGTCATATGACCAGAATACAGGTGGATCCTACAACAGCTCAGACAGAGGCAGCAGTACATCTGGTGAGTACCTGCAGTGTTTCCCAAGCCTTAGGCTTTGTGGTGTTTGGATGCTGTTGCCATGGTTAGCAATATATACTGGGCTTAGAGAAGGAGTGGTGGGGAAGAATCCATGCATAGTGGATGGTGAACAGCTCAAAAACTGTCCCAATAGGTGCCTACATTTCTGTTGCATCCTCATGGTTGCTTAGTGTCATCTAAATGTCAGTTAAGTAACTGGTTTTCCAAAACCGTGAAAGTCATGAGCTTGAAGGGAGGTTGGATTTCCTAATGCTAATGGCATACTGGGTAATGTTATGTTTTCCAGATGGGCAAGTCATAGCAATTTCTTTTCAACTGTCACTAAAAAAAAAAAAGTATTTTAATTTGTGTGTTGCCTTCCTGGTAACTTAGTGACTTTTTTCTCATCTCTTGGGTCTATTTACCCAATTTATGAACGAGCTCAAGATACACAGCAGTTGAGTGATACCCAACAGAACTCTGCTTTAACAAGTTTTTCATTTTGTAAATTAAACTCGTATATTTCATTGAGTAAAAAAACATTCAGGCATGCATTAAAATTTTTATAGATTTTACTCACTATATGTCAAAATTATTTTTATACATCATTTAGATATAGATGGTAGATAATTATTTTTTTTTCTCACTGGCATGTCCTGTACAAATGATCTAAAAATCCTTTGTAAAAATCTTAAACATAACAGCTTTTTGCATTGACCAAAGCACTGAAATTTCACTCTGTTCTTTAGGACCACAGAATATGTTTTAATTCAAAAGTTATGTTTTATCATTGTAGTATAACATGTTCATTTCCAGGTTTGATTTCCCATAGAGGTATATGAGCTAAACCAGAAACTGCACATAGGCTTGGTTTGGGGCTTTACTGTAAATGTGGTAATTAGGCTTTGTTTATTTACATCAAACCAATTCCAGGGTGAGTTATGGTCACAGTCATGAGTGCCCTGAACTTTACATCTACTAATCAAGATGTAGACTTTTTCCATTCTGTTTTGCTGTTGCCTTTGATAGTCCAGTTGCCTTGATCCCAACCTGTTCTTTGTCCTGACCGATTCTGACCGAGGCACAGCAGAGACATAAATTTGTTGCTGAGCCCTGCTGTGCCTCTGGATGATCTGAATTCTCAGAGGCTGGGACGAGATAAGCACAGCTCCCAATTCTCCCAGCCACTCAGAGGTGTTCTTCTGAGAGACAACCTTTTTTACCCATTCCCAGGTCTAAAAGATTAGGATGTGGTGCTGAGCCCATGCTCAATGATGTTAAGACCTGAAATTCAGCATGAAACATCTCAGGGGTATGAACCATGCAGATTAAAAATGAGAGGGTAATGTTCTCCATGCCAATACCTATTAGGGTTATCCATAACTCTTAACAATTTATAGGGTTATCCATAACTCTTAACAATTTATAGTCCTATGCCAAGAACTCCAGCAGGAATGAAGAAAGGTGACCAAAGTAATAAATTAATTGTGTTGAACCATATGTATGTCATGGTGCTTAGGATACAGAATGCAGGTCGCCTTAGTATAGTTAGTGTCCTGCTTGACATAATGAGATACCACAGAAACAACTGTACACAGATAAAACATGTATCTGGCAGTTCATGTGGGACAATAATAATGAGAACTACTGTCAGTAAGAGTGGAAAATCTGAGACAGCAGAAGTGAGAAAAACAACCTTACTAAATCTCACTGGAGTATATTTAATTGTGTATATAACACTTTACTATGATAATATAAAATCATGCCTCAGTTTAAGAGAGAAATGTGAGGGATTCTAAACATACTCAAAACCACAGTGATTTTATCTACATAAAAGGAGTTTATCTATAATAAAGGCATAGAAATAGCAAAGAAGAGTTAAAATGTATATATACCAAGGAACAATGATTGAGCCAGTTCTCATCATAGCCATGTTCAAACTTAAAATTTGAGACCACCTGAATAACTGGTCTTATTCAAAGTTATTTGAACTGTTAAGGCTGCATTGCTTTATTATAAGCTGTAATTTTCCAGTAATAGTAGTTGAAAACATTTGTGAAATACTTCATCAATCTTTATTTCTTTTTCTGTTATTTTAGTTCTTCCAGCAATTATTTTCAACTGCACCTGCCATTTAGGCTAAAAGTAGTAATTTCATTGTGCCTAAAATGTTTCAGTGGACAAGTACAAATTACCTATATTCAGTGACTTAATGCAACAGTAGAACTTTAATAGATCATATCTGTATCATATTGTATTTTAGGTTCTGGCAATTAAATAGGATAAAGGCACTTCAGAAAATATGTCTACAGCTCATTTGTTTTAGATGATAATCTTTAATGTAATTAACAGAAATAGGAAGCTCGCTCTTAATGACACTGTAAAATTCATTTATGGTTTTATCGCATTTTGACTGTTTATTTCAAAAATTAAAGCTTTGTATCCCATGTGTTTTTTCCCATGCTATGTAAAGTTTCTGGTTAAATTCAATCACTTAAAATGTAGATCCGTTCTACAAAGAAGCTACAAGCACAAACTAGTGTAAAACGGAGGAATGCCAATTTCCTCCAAACTGAGCAAAACAGTAAATTCTCAAAGATTGTGAAAGCATCTGGGAAGGGACTACAGTTGTTTTGCTTTTCATAGCTAGTGCTGAGGAGAGACTTGAGAGCCTTACAAATCCATGCTGCTTTTTATTCCCAGGGAGTCAAGGGCACAAGAAGGGTGCTCGGACCCCAAAGGCTCCCAAGCAAGCTGGCATGAACTGGGCAGATCTTCTCCCACCCCCTCCAGCACACCCACCTCCCCACAGCAACAGCGAAGATTACAGTCTTTCAGTGGATGAAAGGTAAGGAAGAGGAAGACATTGTCCACCTCCCACTTGAATCACTAGTTAATTGAAGTGTGATTTGCCCTGCACTGTTCTGGTGCTGCTCCTCGAGCTGTAGTGTGGCAATTTGGAGAGCATTTAGTGTCAGTGGTGTGCATCCACTCAGCACATCCTTACCGAGCTGCTCCCAAGAGCACAGAGAACAATGGTTTGTTTCTGGGCTATTAATACATGTGTCAGATATACTAATTACACAGTACAAATTTAAGTCCTTATTTTCTTAAAAAATTAATTTTAGCTATGACCAAGAAATTCCTTGTCCTGTGCCACCTGCAAGGATGTATCTGCAGCAGGATGAGCTAGAGGAAGAGGAAGAAGATGAGCGAGGTCCTACTCCACCTGTCCGAGGAGCAGCTTCCTCTCCAGCCGCTGTCTCCTATAGCCATCAGTCAACTGCCACTCTCACCCCCTCTCCCCAGGAGGAACTCCAGCCCATGTTACAGGACTGTCAGGAGGATCTGGGACACACACAACACCAACCTGACCGGAGGTGTGTGAATGCAAATGTAGTGAGAGAGATGTGACGAGTCATCCGAGCCCCACTGAAAATTCCTTTTGAATTTAGTGAGGCCAGCAATTTCCCCATTATTCTGTTGCTATTTTAACTTCTAATCCAGGATGCTAGAACTATTTTAACCTAAGAAATAGGTAATTAAGTTGCTTTATTATTGTACCATGGGAAGAAATGCAGTATATCACTTTAGGGTACGTACGATGCTGACATAAGTTAAATTTACAGTCATCAGGTTATTAAAGTGGTATCGTTAACACAGCTTACCATATAATTACAGTTCCATTGTTTCCAATAGATTTACTGCATTATTACCATAAAATAGCATGCATTATTTCACAGTAACTGTGCAATTAACTTGTCACCAATATCTATGAATATATATAAATATATAATTTATATAACCTATAGATTTTCTTTCTCTCATAAATCCTAATACAGGAAACCACAGCTTGCAAAATTTTCTTAACATTTGCATCTAACTTTATTTAAAGGAATGACCAACATTAATAAAGATAGATATTTGCTACTGGGAAATTTTGTTTCTTCTCCGACTTGCTCTTACGACTGTTTTGCATATAAACTCTCACAGCTTCTCTCCCATAAAACAGTGAATTCTGAATGAGCCTTTATGTATGATGCTTACATCTCTGGCTTTTGTTAAGAAGGCACAGCTTTTCCATCCCAAATGATGGGCTTTTATTATCTTTTTCCTCTGGTGGTTTGCACATACTGTTTATTGCCACAAATATATAAACTTACCTGCAGCATTCTATGTAGAATTTCTATTTTTAGCAAAATGTAAGCCTCTTACAATGAAATTTATGTGATTTTTCTGAGCAGACTGCAGAACTTTGATTTTTCAACATAACTTACTGGATATCTTGGACGTATTTTCCCAAATGTTTTTTACAAGTTAGGTCATCTTCATGGTTCCCATTTTTAAGTCGGCAGTAGTTATGCATCTTTTTCTAAAGGGACCACATCTGCTTTTCTTTTAGCTCCCCCCTACTTGATCTGCCTTGGTTTGTTTTCTTTACTCTTTATGGTAACACTTGGTATTGTGTATCTTTTCCTCCTTTCCTCTTCTTTCCTTTCCTCTTCCTTATCTTCCTGAGTCTTTAAAAATCACTCTTTTCATTGGTGGATGACTAATTTCCCATAATTTCCATTGGCCCTGCTACACTGGTCCACAGAGGTGTTCATTTCAACCACTTACATTTTCTGGGTTATTTGAGAGGTGAACCTGGGTGGACACAAATGAAAAGGGGAAAAGTTAAGTGACCAATAGTCATGAGTGACTTTCTAGAACCTCTGTGATTTTTCTGGGAGTTGGGACATGTGTCCTAACATACAGAATGGAGTAGACACAGAAGAAGATGTATACAAACATGCATAACTAGCCAGCAGCTGTCTGGAAAGCAGAAAGTTTGTTCAAAACAAAGACTCCTGGCTGGTCACCATCAATGCCATCAAAAAGTAGTGGCAGAAGGAGCTGGAAGGATGCTCCAATTTAAGCTCCTAGGGCATACAACTTACTCTTTTTGTGAACTGAAAAATAAAATGTATATTTATTTTGTCCCTCTTACAGTAGTTAAGTCTAGCATTGCTGAAAGTCTTAGAATTTGTTAGTGACTAATTTTGTCTTTTCTATCTTTTTCAAATGTTGTTCCTCTTCTTTCTTGCTGCATCCATCTCATCAGTTTTAAAATAGTCATATAATTCTATTTATTTGCTTTGTAAGGCTTGACTGACTACCTGTTCCATCTGCTGGTGTTGATAACGACCCAGAGTTGCTGTTGAGGAGCTGGGTGTCCTGTGCTCAGCAGCTGTAACCCATTCTGGGAGGGTGGGGTCCTGTTTCAAATATGGTTTGGCAATATTCTCAAACTGAGAATACATTCCAAGTGGTGCCTTTCCACATTGATTTGGGATGTGAAAATAATGCCTGAAATGCTGTTTGTCATACTTTTTATTAGCTTTGCTCATAGTTCTGCTGAGTATTATTTTGTCTGCTGGTCAGAACCAGGCATCTAAAATAAGATTCTGGTGGTGATGGTGTACTGTAATATTTCTCTGTCTGGTGAGCTTGCTGGAAATGTAGCAAACTGCAGTAAAAAACTGTGGTCTGGAAGAGTCAAAGAGGAGAGGAGAAAACGAAAGATTTAGTGGGATAGCAGGTGATGTCAGTGTTAAACCCAGTGCTGAGATAGGAGACAATGTCACCATTAAAGTGAGAACCTGCATCAGATAAAGGGAATGAAGTATTGTTACTTCTGTATGCCCATGAACCGGCTGCTCTCAATTAGCCTATCCCTAAAGGTTGGCAGCCAAACTACATTTTCAAGAACCCTAACATATTTTGTAACCAGTTTCCTGTCTTCTAATACCAAAACCTAGAGAACAGACAAATATATCACAAGGACATTTGTCGCAGGAGCTTTAAATTAAGGCAATAAGACTTTATTAGGCAAGGTCTCTAGTCAAAGCAGGTACAGATTCCAGACAGCGACAGCTTCTGGGATTTGGAGATGCTGTTATAAAATGATTATTGGATATTTATTCCTAACTATTCTTCATTCTGTTCAGTACTCAATATAGCAAGTGAAAAACAATAATGATGTAGTCCAGGGAGGATCCAACTTGTTCTTGCTATAGAGTTTTAAAGGTCTTTCCTTTCTAACATTTCTTTCCAAAATAAATAGGTATTCCCATTTATTAAAATATAAAAATTTATTAAAAAGTTGCATGTCACCTGCACGAAAGAGATGATTTAGCCATGACAGTCATCATTTCTCAATGTGATTATAAGAGGGCAAAGCTGACAAAGGAAAATTACTTTGAAATTTTTTTCAAAGCAGACTACAGTAGAAATTCCTGGTGAGCACAGCCAACAGGAGAACCATTACTGCATAAAGTGTGTTTTCCTGCCAGATAAATGGCAATTAAAGAGCGTGTCTGTGGCCCCACGAAGAACTGTTGACAGTGTTGCTACCTGGAACTTCTGAGTGAAGTATTAAGTAATCATGAACATTGATCTGGTATCTTATACTTTGCCTCCTTAAGCTAGAGTTACCATTACTGACAAATTAAGATCAAAATTAGTTACCGTATACATCTGTATGCATGTTGGTACCCCTAAGGCCTAGAACTAACACTATGGTAGAAAACTCTTTCTTTTCATCACCTAGATCAATTTAAAAAATAATGAAATTGCAGTCTCTTTTTTAATATCTTTCTGAATCATCAGGGTGGGTGGAGGGAGGATAATGTTAAAGGAGCAATCTATTTGGATAGATGCGTCTGTTGGCAGTGATAGTTTCAAGCTATATGTTTACAGTTATTTCTTTTGCTTATATTCTCAAGAGTGCATAAATAATTTTTTTAATAGCCACATGATCTGTAACCAACTCTTTACTTAGCTCTACATGTGTTATTTACAGAAAATGAACAGCTTTATCATTAAAGTCAGTGATAAAGGAACCGTGTTAAAAAATCAGATTTCTTTGTTATAGATTTCAAGCTGCATAGCTGTCAGCTCTGATTTACAGCAAAAGTATAAACTAAAAAAATAAACCTGAGCATTTCAGATATAAATTAGGTTGATTTAAAAAGGCAGGCCAAGCTTGCTGGGAAATAAAAGAACTATTTTCATCAATCTGCTGTTTCCTCTGACTTTGTTATGTGATTTCAAGTCTTCTCACCCTTGTGTTTCTATGCAGACGTCAGCCTGTGAGCCCTCCACCCCCTCCAAGGCCCATCTCCCCACCACATACCTATGGGTACATCTCAGGGCCCTTGGTGTCTGACATGGATACTGATGCCCCAGAAGAGGAGGAGGACGAGGCAGACATAGAGGTTGCCAAGATGCAGAACAGGAGGCTCCTTTTGCGTGGCCTGGAGCAGACCCCTGCCTCCAGCGTTGGGGATTTGGAGAGCTCTGTGACAGGCTCCATGATCAATGGCTGGGGCTCAGCCTCTGAAGAAGACAACATCTCCAGCGGGCGCTCCAGCGTGAGCTCCTCCGACGGGTCGTTTTTCACCGACGCCGATTTTGCACAGGCTGTCGCAGCGGCTGCCGAGTACGCCGGCCTCAAAGTAGCCAGACGGCAAATGCACGAGGCAGCGGGAGGTGAGTTGTCCTCTGCCCGATGGGAGAACCAAAAAAAGGTGGCCATTGCAAAATGAACCTGCCCACAGGCGCTTTCTGAATTCCTGTTCTTGGGATGTAGGGGTCAGGAAGAGGCAGAAAAGAAAAGGAGTTTTGGTGACACGGTTCAAAGAAATTGCTGCTCTACATATTTTCCATAAGTAGTTCCTAGTTCTTTGGTCTTTACTGATCATGGACAAACATCAGCCTTGCTGGTAGATTTACACTCAGAACTGAATGAGAGAGGAGAAAAAAAACCAATTATAGAAGTCTGTCTTTTCCCAGTAGAAGGCTCCCAGTGTTTTCAGTCACTCAAAGAGAGATTTAGTCACTCTCTATTAAAATGTTCAAAAAATAGTAAACCTTTTTTTGAGTTGCATTTTAATTTACAGATTATGCATATGCAGCAGGGCCTTATGCATATGTTTGTGTTTTCACTTTTCCTTTCCCCTGTAACACCACTGAACGTATTTGAACATGATATTTGAAATATTTCATTGTTACAACATACTGGATACTAGTAGCAGTGGATATATACAGGTAATCAGTAACTTTGCTAAGCCAAATGCATATTGTTATACTTCATCTAAAGAATAAGAATACAGGAGGCTGGGATGCAGGTTTCAGGCAGCTCCATGAATGTTTTGACAATCAATCCTATTAAACTGCCAGACTTGGAGAAGCGGTACTCTGTCACAACTGTGTCCACCCTGACTCCACAGATTTTCAACATTCCTCCCATTTCTGACATCCTCTCCCAGTTAACAGTCCTTTGTTTCGTTTCAACACAGCTGTTCATCATGAAGAGCGAGAGGGGAGGTAATTTAGTAATTCTGGATGAAATCCTGACCAATTGAAGTAGGTGGCAAAACTCCCATTCATACCTACGGGGCCAGGATTTTATCAGTTTTGTACAAATAAATTCCTGTAAATATGTGTAGAGATCTATATATTTAGAAGAGGTCTTTTTACATCTGGTTGCTAATATTTTTGCAACAGTCTGGTTCATTGGTATTGCGTGTGCCTGCCTGCATGTCCTTAAACCATGACACTTCTTACCTGCAAATAACCTATGATAAAATGCCAGCCCTCCAGCCTCGATGTGTTCCTGAAAATTCACTCAAAGTGGCCGAGGGGATTCTGTACCTGAGACCTGCTGACCGCTTTCTCTGCCTGTGTCAGGGATGACCTCGTGTGGCCCAGGCTAGGGGAGGGGAAACCTGAAAGGGAAACTGTGCTCTTTGCAGAAACTGGCTGGGTGGGAATCCTGCTTGTGCTTGCCTGCTGATGGATTTTGTGCTCCTGGGGCAGGAGCTACCAGCTACCAAGCAGCTGGATAATTTCTGTTCAACCAAGCCAGCCTGCCTAATGATAGGATAGCAAATGCTTCAATTTAGTTACAGCTCATTCTAAAACTGGATGAGCTTTGCTTTTGTTCCAGCAGTGTATTTTTAGGTTTTGTACAGCCAGAGCATTCTGATATGAAAAGAGAAAGTCTTATTTTAGGTAAGAGAAATAATTGTTATTGTTCCATAACCATTTGCAGGCCGTAGACATTTTCACGCATCACACTGTCCCAGACCCACCAGCCCCGTATCTACTGACAGCAACATGAGTGCTGTTGTAATACAGAAGGTCCGACCTGCCAAAAAGCAAAAACACCAGCCAGGACATCTGCGCAGAGAAGTCTACACAGATGGTGAGTCCACTGAAACGGGTGAAAGCCTCACTGAACCTTTCTAAATATGCATTCAGCGCGTGTGCGTGAAATTTTTCCACAGAGATAATGCTGTGTTTCAGAATCCAGTGATTTGTGTTTCCTGTTGCTAAACACACTGAACAGTTTAATCATTTTAAATGCCAGAGTTCCTTAATACAGTACGTTGATGCTTCCACTCCAGAGCCTTGCACCTGTTTTCTATAGTGTCCTAATCGGCTAATTACCCTCAGTATTTAAGAGCCCAGATAGCTTAAATAGTACAGTCATTGAGAATAATGCGTGGTTAGGATTAAAATCTCCGTTCACGTGACTGACTATTAAAACCTTCAAAATTAAAACCTTTTCTTGAAAAAAAGCAACAATTCACCATTCAAATGGTGGACAGCACAAATCAGTGAATTGTATTCCCGACCACAGCATTGTTGCAAGCGGTTACTTTGTGAGTGAAAGCAAAATCTAATCATCTTCTCTCGTGCCTTCACACACAATATCAACTCTTGCTGAAAAGGTAGTGCTTGTATTCTCTTGGGGGTGTAGGATGATAATGCAAACATTGTGATGTTGTCTAGAGAGAGCCTTTAATGAAAATGCCTCAGGTGGTGCAGCTTTTATTAAAGCACTGCCTTCCAGTTGTATAAAACAATCCGTGGGCTTTGTTGGAAATTCATGTGAGATAAATTCCCCAAGACTTAACCCATCTTGTCGAGTTTGCTGAATTTGCTAACAGGAGGGAGATGTGGGGGAAGGGGAGGGGAGAGGAGGGAAGGGAAAAGGAAAGGAGGGCAGAGCTCCCCACCTCCTGCTTCTCTGCAACAACAATCTGATTAGGACTTTCATTACCAGCCTGAAATTTTTCAAAGAGGGGCATCATTTGCCATTATCATATGAAAGGCTAATATTATAGATCCTTATCCAGGGTTACAAGAAGGGAGTTTTGAACCACTTCTCCCTGTGATTCCTGCCACTTGACGAAAAAATTTAATACAAAGCTCAAAGCACGATGAGCAGAAGTAATTTAGCAATGAGTGGTTGTCCGTGCTATTATCTGTACTTTATTCCGAGTATTTTCTCTCAGTAGCATCTATCTGATACTAGGCTGCGTTAAATGCTGGCATGACACAGTGCACCTGGGCCTCTTGGCTGGTGCCCAGGCCCCTTCTGTCAGTAAAACTGAGCTGTTGGAATATTATCTGATTTCAAGAGGTTATTACAGTGGTTTTGTGCATGTTTGCTTTTGTGAAAGGACAACACAAGGTGTAAATCCCAAAACTGTACCAGAAACATTACATTTAAGAGACTCTTGTAATGGTGTTTCACAGGATTTTATTGACATTTTATCAGCTTTTATTCTCTTGAAGAGAATGCTCTGAACTGAATAATTGGCAGACCATCAAGCCTCAATACAAACAGAATGGCTAGGACATCAGAAATAAATAAATAAAGGTGTTTTATGTGGCCATTTGCTTCCAACACGGGGATAAATAAGAGATGGGCCTGTATTTGATGACAGGTTTTTGTAAAAGTAGTTATACAGAGTTAAATCATAGAGCCATTGTCATTAGATATTGCAATATAGATTTGACAGTCATGATCAATATTTGTTTTGTGTTATGTAGCACCTGCTTACTTCAGCATATTTTCTAATTAGTTAGGAATTTCCACTAACCTCTTTATAGTGCAATATAGTGTGGTCATTCAGGGAATAGCAAATTATGGCTTTAGTTCCTGCAGATCTAATAAAATCCAGTTCAAAGGCTGAAGGACTTGTTTGGTTTTGATATTTTTTTTTTAATTATTATTTTTTTCCCCTCAGTCTATTTGCATAAACCTATTTGGAACCTTACTGTAGATTCCAACCATTTACTTTAATCGACACATATTATGTCCCTTTAGAATTAGCTATAAAATAACATACAGCAGTTGTTTTCCTTAGGTGGAGAAAAGTGATATGGATGCATGAAGGAAACATTTAGGCACAATTGACCTTTCTGAGATATACTTAGGTTTTTATATAGGCTTGAAGACTACTATTTGTCTTTTTTTATAAAGGAGTGCCCAATACAGAGTTGCTTTTATCTCTTCATAATGAGTGAACAAATATGTGTTTGTAGCTGTGGGGGAATAAAAAGAAGCAGCATTCAATAAATACTAAAAAGAGAAAAATATATTCTTTCATTACTTTCTCAGCCTCTAAAATGTAATTTTAAAGAACTGCATATAAAGAATTTTCTACTGTTTCCAAATTATCTGAATTAGTGCTTGCTAATACTTCTATGAAACACAAGTGTAATGAAGAATTTAAGTGATTAATTGACAGGAAGGATATATAAATAAATTGAAGATTTTCATGAATAGTTGAAAATGCCAGGAGTATTATCAACAACAATATAGATAAGTCTTTAAAAGTTCTCTTTTATTTTCTTCATACAGACAAATCTGTGAAAGAGGTTGGTCTTTCTGATGGTGTGTTTGTTAACTAATGTAGCAATAAAATGCCTACGACTACCTATTTTTAAATAGAGTTCTCTCTGATGTCTCTGCATTGTCCAAATAGTAACAATTTTGTATTTTCTCTGAGCATTTCTTCAAGTCAGTTGCTACTTTCTGTGGGATGGGATTTCAGCTCACTTCTTTTGTTCCTTGACAGTCATCCAGGCAGTGAAATGTTCTTCATATTTGTTGCTAAAAATCTTTGCTCAGTAGGTGGTAAGGATTAAAATGTATGAATTTTTAATTGCTCTTCATCTAGCCTTTTAGGAGAGTTTACTAAGAATGCATTACAAGAACCAACTACCAGATGTACCCTCCTTTTCAACCTTGACTGACCTACTTACATATTTAATTTAGAAAACCAAACTTTAAAAGAATATGTTTGTCTTTTCTAAAAACGTATATGGGAGACTCTTTTCTGAACTGTCTTGAATTTATTTGTCAGTTGTGATAAACCTTAGAACTGTAAACATTTCAATAAAAAGGATAAAAGTACTTTGCCATTGTTCTGATTCAGTAGGTCTTTCAGTAGAAATTATGCCATTCACAGTTCATATGAGATTTTAAATCCCAATTATTCTTTAAATCTCTGAGTGAGAAAAAAATACGAAACAGTTTTACAACTGACTGGCTGAGACTGTAACTGAGTTATTTAGCTGTGTTACCAGTGACATGATGTGAGGGCAGCTGAATTTCTCACAAAAGGCAGTTGAACACCTGCCAAATATTCCTCGAATTTTCACTTGGAAATATTAAGCCTTTATGCATGCCAACAGCATTTGTACTTTTGTCTCCCTCTGCCTGTGCAGTACAAAAAAATTACTCAATATGAAGCAGATTTTAGCAAGGTACAAAATAAGTAAGAATGCATTTCTTGCTCTGCTAAAAATCAGCTTGTTATTGAATTCTAATAATTTTCAGATGCTTGCTCTCTTCTCAGTCCTTACTTCTGAGTCCATTATGAGATAATTTGTAAATACCAAATTTTGAGGGAGGTTTTGTGGAATGAAAATTGTTGTGATAATTATGCAAATGTACAGAAAAGCAAACAAAAAAAAAATAAAAGCAACAGGCTGCAGCGTTTATACATCACATTGGGATTTGCAGTATTAATTTGTTCATCCAATTATTGTGTACAGTGTGAGCCATGTTTCTTGAGAGACAAAGCATGAAGACAACTTCAGTAGGTGAATAATAGCTCAGATTATGATGTGTCTGGAAATCTTAAATGCTGTCTAAGGTTTTTTTCAAGTCAGGAACAATCTTCAGTTTTGCATACCAGCATGAACATGCAATAGACTAAAAATTCACTTTGTCTTTTAGAGAATGATAGAATGGCCTAAATTGGAAGGAACCCCAAGGGTTGTCTGGTTCTAACCCCCCTGCCATGGCCAGGGACACCTTACTAGACCAGGTTGCTCAGAGCCCCATCCAGCCTTGTCTTGAACACTTCCAGGGATCTCCTTCAGTATTGCATCAAATCTAGACCCTGTTTTCTTCAGGGTATGACTGAAAAATCTGCAGCTTGATAGAGTTTAAAAGAGAGAGTTGCCTAATGAATCCTAATTCCCTCATTAGTCACTACTTAGAATTCATCTTTTTGTGCTTATTTATGGTTTCTACACTTCAGTGTAAAATTAATTTAGCAGATTATTTTTCCTCAATACTGTTTTGCTTATGCCATGGTTCCTGTGTGTGTTCTCATTTATGAAATGATCAGCTCTCCTTTCAAAAGACACCTGTGGAAGGTTTCTTCTGTATGGCAACCATTAATTGTTTGAGTGACATGGGAAGCTGGGTAGCAGTAATACATAGACATGAATGAAACATGTGAGCACAGCTGACCTTTAACAAATACTTCTGAGTTCTTTCTATTGGTTTGATGTTGCTTTGTGATTTATTTTTTATTCCTTACAATGGAAGCTTCCATTTTGCTTTTAATAAGTGTGCCAGTTTGTACTCGAGGAGGCAGATTGAATCTGGATTTTCTCTGTGATCTGAGCTGTTAAAATAAATACCACAGGGGTGTAATAGTGTTGACCTCTGAAAGGGATTTTTTTTTTCCCCTCTGTTAAGGATTCTTCTCAGTCAGAAGTACTGTGTTATAATGAATATTTTTATAGTTTCCCTGCAGGTTGCAAAAATGTTCTTGAAAGCGAATATCAGTTTTCTTTAGTTATTACTGTACCATTAGAGCTACTGTCAGTTTATGAAACTTTTTATATCAATGCATCTTCCCTTTCCATAGTCAAGATTCAACACCACTTTTTTCATTGTCCTGTGTAGCTGGATAAGGTTCTTGAGCAAAGTAGTTTGTTCCAAGCTGTATTTTGTAGACTGTAGGAATGCTCCTTCCCTTCAGTATTCCTTCAGCCAGTGCACTGCCATGCCACAACTGCTGGACACTGGCTGCAAGGGAGGCTGAAAAGGCTGATGTTGGATATCTACACTCCCTTTACCTCAGCAGGTTCAAGAGAAGGGCTATTCCGTGCTTCATCATAGAGAAAGTGAGTGGAGCACGTGAGACACAAGATGTTGCATTGTCCTGAGTTCAGCTGGGGTAGAGTTAATTTCTTCTCAGAAGCTGTTACAGTGCTTTGGATTGGAGTTTTGGTGTTGAAGATGGCTTTTTACTAAGTCATGTCTATCCTCAGTCAAAGACTTTTTTTTTTTTTTGTCTTGTCTTACTCTCTGCCAAGCAAGGAGGTGCACAGAAGAAGCTGGGAGGGAGCATAGCTGGGACAGGTGACCCAGACTGACCCAAGGGATATTCCACACTGTGGAACGTCATGTCCAGTATATAAACTGGGGATTTACGCAGAAGGGCCCATCTGGGTTCAGGAAGGGGGTCTGGCATTGGTCAGACCAAATTGGGCGACCAGTGGGTGGTGAGCAATTGCATTGTGCATCACTTGTTTTTTCCCTTCTTCTTCTCCAGCTGGGCTTAAAACCATGATGGTCCTTTTTGGTGCCCAACACGCACCCCAAAGGGTTGAGACAAGGACAAATCCAACCAGAGTGTGTTAAAATAAAAGCATCTGTGGTTCCAGAGGCCTACATTTCTGAGTCTGAATATCTTCATCCACTTCTGAATCAGTGTGTCCTCTTCCGATCAGTGTGAAATGTGCTTATAGCTTTATTGTGAACTGCTTTTGTATTTGCACTTCCTTGCTGGTCTCCTATATTTTTTTTCTTCACATTTATACTCCACAGAGCACTGTTGTATCCTGATGAACATTTTACATATTCTAGTTTTATGTCCTAATGCAAGAATACAAAAATATAATGAAGTAAATTACATGTGTGCTTTAAAAATATTGTAAATATTATAATATTCAAATATTCAGAATTTTGGAACCCCTTAAGCTGTGCTAATTTAAAGAGACAAATCCAGAAGTCTTTGTGTGTCTTTTCTTCTATTTCTGTTTTTTTCTGAGAGCTTATTACTTCATTGACTGACACTGACTTTTATTTAATTTTTATTTTTTTTTAATTTGTCATGACAGACCCACAGACATTAAGGATATGTGTGTTATTTTAACCTACCGTTTTAAAAGAGGATTGCAGTAATAGAAATAGTTTATCCCTACATATGTCAGCAATGATTCACATTCTTACATCCCAGCCTGTTTGCTGTAATGCTCGCTACGCTGAAGACCTTGAGCAATTGCAGCACGAGCTGCTGTGCTCTTGAATAGACTTTGCAAACAATTGCAAATATCAGGAAGGATATGTTATTATCCTTAACTCTTTGTTGATATCCATAACTGATACCTTAATATCCAAGTGCCTGAAGTTTATTGCAGTTTGTGGTAATGATTTTTAAGAAAATATTGTGATTTGAAAAGGCAGGGAGAGGTCATTCTTTATGTTTTCAAAGCTCAAGCTTTTGGAAAAATACCCATCAGCAGTTTCAACAGTAACATAATACTTTTTGGGGTGGAGAGAGGAGGGCAGGGGGAGGGCAGAAAGTAAACAAGAGCGTCTGTTTCTTCAATTCAAGTCAAATATTATTTCTTAATTTCACTAGTGTGTGATGTCATGGTAATTCCTCTTTTAACCCCGCAGATCTGCCCCCTCCTCCTGTGCCCCCTCCCGCCATAAAGTCCCCGACGGCGCAGTCCAAGTCGCAGCTGGAGGTGCGGCCGGTGATGCTGCCCAAGCTCGCCTCCATGGACGCCAGGACGGACAGATCTGCGGACAGGAAGGGAGCGAGCTACAAGGGCAGGGACGGGGCGGAGGGCAGGCAGCACCCCGACGTGCGGACGGGCTCGGGGGAGCGCAGAGAGCCCCAGGAGCAGCAAAGCGACGGCAAACCGCGAGCGAGCAAAGCACCAAAACGAGACGGCACACCAGCAAAAAGTCATCTTCTTCAAGGTCATTCTGCCTGCTCGGGGTTTGCTGGAGTGCTGGGTGCTGGGAACCTCGCAGGCTGGTGACCTGAAACTAGAGCTGCTGAATTGCCCCTGTTCATCATAAGTGTAGGGTTAATATGGGTCACACTGCAGGACCTTGTTGGGGTAGAACAAGCTTATTACAAGTTTACAAATCATTCTTTTTCTATTTTGCTGCCCTTAGACCCATCATGTATTAAAGCTAATGATGAGGAAACAGAAAAGGAATATTCCTTAAAAGCTGTAAGGATCAGTATCCCTGGTCCTACCACACACTTGTAGTCTAGTTATAGTTAATGTAGCTATTTATAATCTGGTTTATAAGAAGACTGAGTGAAATAAGACAGTAGATCTGTAAGTCAGAAACTTAACTTTCCTACCAAAGGATCAGCACTTGGCCCATTTTGCAAATTTTGCCAACAAAAGGTCCGGAATGATACCTGGTCCTGTTTCAAGAGTGAAAAAGCCCTAGTAGTTGTGGATTAATTATAAATACTAACTCTCATAGCATTGTGTGAGCCAGACCTAATCAAAGTAATTTCTTATATATGGAAAGTTCTAAGCTTACTAGTTAATTGAACATGTCAAGACTTCACCAAGAGCAACCAGATTTATGCAAATACCTGGTCCTTTCTACCTACAGGTATTTAGGGATAGCATCAGTAGTGTTTGGGTATTAAGCTGGTTAAGTGGGAACATGAATAAAAGTTTGACTACAGTGGATTGCTCTAGAGAAAAATGATCAGAATGCTACCACAGAGGATGGTGGTAAAATATTAAAGCATGGCCACTGATTGTGTCTCAAATTCAGCCTAAGAAATTCAGGGTACAGTATTTAGGTGGAATGAGTTCCTTGTATCATAGATGTATTCTCATTTCCTCCTACTCTGTCATATTGAATATATACTACTAAGGGTGGGTTTTTTATCATTTTCCTGTAGAACATAGACCAGGGATCCTAAATTGAAATGAAATGGACACTAATCATGAATTAGTTTTTCTGTAGCGAATGTTTCCATGTAAAGACTATAAATTTCCTTGAGAAAGCTTCTGTAATGCTGCTATGGAAGCAGCATATTTCATGTTCTTGTCAGGCATCGCTTTAAACCTCCTGAGAATCATAAAAAGTAAATCAACTGCATGCAGGAATTTTAGGTGCACAGTATCTCTGGGCTTGCAATTGTAACAATGTATGCATTTAATTATACAGAGGACATCCTGCCATATTCTAGACCAACGTTTCCAACATCAAACAATCCTAGAGATCCCAGCTCCTCCAGCTCCATGTCATCAAGAGGGTCAGGAGGCAGGCAGAGGGCAGATCAAGCAAATCTAGCCCGAAGGAATGTTGCAGAAATGCAAGTACTGGGAGCCTATGAACAAGGAGAAGAGGAAGAAGAAGAAGAGATGGAGGTAACTGCAGCTGTAATACTGAAGATCACTACAATAAAGCAGTTTTTGTTTTTAGACAGATGCCAGGAAAAAATGCTTTTAAACCAGAAATATTTCTGTTCAGGAAAATTAATGCATTTATTTGTCCATTAATGTTATGCCCAATCCAAGTAAACAAACTAGAAATGTATCAAAACATAAAAAACAAGTCATATGTAATATAATTGTCACCTCACTAAAACTTATGGAACAGAACTGGCAGAAATGCAATACTTTAAAGAGCACTTTATTTTCAGTTTTGAAAGAATTTGAGTAATGTAAAGAACTAGAGCATATAAGAACGCTGTGACATTGCCTTTCACATCTTTTGACAGTTTATCATTCTAGATTCTATTAGATATTAAGATACAAACTTTTTGTCTTTACTTTTTCTGCCTATTTATATTGATTCAATTTAAATACTGATTGTAAAAAGGGTGGCTAACATACAGTCGCACTCCTGTGCATAATTTAAAGTAGTAATTATCATTGAAAGGTAGCAAATCTCTAAGAAGTATGTAAAGCAAATTTTAAATAATAAAGGTTAACATGTAGTAATTATATCCTCTCTTTTTTAATACAGGAAACAGAAAGCTGAAGACAACGACATGTACTGTAACAGGCTTTTAAAATCTAATCAGAAAAAAAAATAAATCACTTAAGATGCCTCAAGTCTGATGATGTTTGACGCCAGAAATAATGTTCAGTGCAATCAGAGTGTACAATTTTTCCTTTTTCCTCATGCCATCAGAATGCTAGTTTTTATTTTACTCTTTCTTTGTAAACCCTCCTCACTAGGAATGGCTCTTGCCTAATCCGTAACGCTGAGTGCATCACCTTCGCTGCCCGAGGAGGCAGGGAAGCTGCTCTTCGAGGTGCTTGGGCCAGCTGCTGCTCCAGGATTAGACCAGAAAGGAATTCCATGGCTGGGATTCCAAGGTTTCTCCCCAGCGAGGCGGCGCTCGCTGCGCTGCCGGTTCACCGGCGAGCCAGTGGATAACGGCGCGAGGGCCACGGCAGCGATCAGACATCCCCAGAGTGAGCGTGGTGCACAACATCCTTTGGTTCTCGGGGTGTCACTGGGGGCTGCACTCACTGCAAGTGGTACCTTGCAGATTTAACACAGACCCTGTGTCTTGTGTGCTGCCGGGCTCTTGCTTTCGCAGATGATACAGTTTGACAAAAGAAAGTAAAATTAATTTGGGACAAGATGGCTCTTATTGTAAATATGTACTCATTTTAAACCCCTGTGGTACTTTGATTAGTCTTTCCATTTTCATCATTAAATACAGTCTTATTAAAAATGTCCTTTGGGATAGGCAGGAGGTAAGCCAATGTGATTGCTATTTGCCTAATCATAGCATGAGCAAGTTTATCTGAAACTTTTTTTCAAATTTTCAGCTTCAACACTGCTTATGAAAAGTAAATCAATGGACATTTTTAATAACGATTAGGTAATACCATCAACTGCTACTGGCCCAAATCTCAGACCTCTACTTGTGTCAATTCACCTTAAAGAAGAAGTGCCACTTAAAGAAGTTTTGTTTGATCTTGGCAATGAATTTTTTTGTAATGCACTGCTTATCTTTTTTTTTTTTTTTTGGTTTTAAAAGCACAATCACTAAACTTTGTTTGTAAACCATTGTAACTATTAACCTTTTTTTTTGTCTTATTGAAAATGTTAAGCATTTGTTTGGGATATTTTTCATTTTTTTGTTAATGCTCTATGTTTGTATTTGGAATATTTGAATGATGACAGATGGTAAAGTAACAAACGTAAATGTGGGCCATAATCAAAACACTTCTCACTTTTCCTGGACTTACAGAAAATTACCAATTTTTCTGTGGCCTCTCTCAACATTGGATTATCATTAAAGCTGAAATAGAGGCATTAGTTGCATTGAATTTGCCAAATGATGTCCTCTGTCTGTAGATTTTTCTGATCTTTTTTGTAATTATAAAATTTCTTTGTCATTGGTGCTAATGGAAAAATGTGTGTTTGTTTATTGAAAGCTATCAGGACTAGCCCCAATGAAAAAAAAAAAAGAAAAAAAAAAAGTGTTTTGGTGTTTACCGAGGACTGAAATTTTTCATTTAGCTAATTTTTAAAGAAAGGTTCCATAGAAAGGGTGTGCAGTACTAAAGGAAAAATCCATGTGATTAATGTTTTCATTATGTTCATGTAAGAAACCTCATATTTTAGCCATAATTTTGCATACTGAGGATCCAATAATCAGAAAAGTAATTTTTGTCACATTATTTATTAAAAATGTTCTCAAATACATTATCTTTCCTGTGTAGTTTCTTGTGTTCCCTGGAGCATAATTTAGGGGCAACTCCAATCTTATTTCTGTTGGCAAGAGCCAGGATCTGTTCCACTGAAATCATGCAGCTACAGTAGCATGAGCAAAGTGGGGGAGCTGGATGCAGCCTAGGATTTTACATAATTACTGTTGATTGCCTTAAAGATCTGATTTCTGGGCGCTTCATGGACTGTGATAATGAAAACTTCTCTCAGCCTGCCAATTTCCAGAGAGAGCTGATGAAGAAAATCTGTACCAACAAAAGCATTCACCTCAGGGGTGAGATACATTGGCTACAAAGGAAATAAGATCCAAATAAGTGAAGAGAATGAATGTTATGAGTCAATAACAAATCTGCTGGGACCTGCACAAATGCAGGTTTCCTTACCTGCCTGCTGTCCTGTGCTGTAGCCATTCTGTGGTGGGCCATGGCTGAGTAGGTGATGGCCCCTTTTCCACTCTTGTATTTTCATAAGCCTGTAATCATCCTGATCACCCTTTTCTTATCCTCTGCCCTTCATCCCAGTTAAAAATTGCTGATTTTCACTGACACACTTCTCTGCTGTGTTGCCACAGAACGCTGCTAGAGCCTTTACAGGCACAAGTCTTAGGTACAGGTTTTGTTTCATAACTGCAGCTTTGAAGCACATATGAAGATTAGGTAAATTAAGTCAAATGTGTAGCCTTTCTGTGCTGATTTTTTGGGGATGTCTTCAGTCCTTATGCTTCAGATAAGCATGTGTTAGAGCCAGCATTATCCAGGCAGGAGCCCACAGACAGCCTGGGATGTGCTACGGGAGATATCCATCCATCTGGCCTGCACCTTTCCTTTGGAGAAGGCAGGAGAGGTTTCATAGGCACTGCAGGAAGGTTTTCCTGGCACCAGAAACAGCCTTTTGGTTTGGGGTGAAGCCATTCCCACAGCAGGGTGTGGGGAACAAGGTGGAACTCAAAGACGTGTCCCCATGTGTGACACTTGGCACAGAAGCTTAACCTGCTGCCAGAGGGGTTGTGTAGCATCTCAGAACTGGGATCTAGTTGCAGCTGTGGAGTGCAGAGCTCTGTAAGGTGTGTCTGCCCAGAAACACTGGTGCTGCATGCCCAAAATGACAGGTACTCACTTCATTCTCTGCTGACGTGCTGACAAACTGGAAATCACACTGGACCCCAGTGATAGCCATCTGTGTAGCTTCACTGGAAGTCAGGCTCCAGCTGGAGTTCTGACCTCAGCCAGCACTAAGTGGGAAATGGTGCCCTGTGAGGTTTTTTAAGAAGTTGTTATAAATCTGTTGGTGGTGTTCCCTCAGAGGTTTTTTGGATTGTTTTGTGACTGCATTCACTTGTGTCTGGCAGTGTCCTGAAGAGTGTCACGGAGTTGTTAAGGGTTCTTGCACCCACACTTGGTTGGTGTTTGGTGCACTCTGTTCTTACCAAAACCAAAGGCATTAAGAGAAAATACCTACAGGGCTGATCTTGACTATGACTCCTGGTAGCTGATGTTGAGACACACCTGCTTTAGACTTTGCCATTGAGGTACAGTTAAATGAGGTCATTTACACAAAGATACATTTACTAACAAATTATGAAGTGATTGGAAAGCCAACACAACCCAAGTAGTGTTCAGGGATTTTGATTATGCTGTGTACCTGAAAAAGCAAGTACTCCACTGGAAAATCCATATTTTGTGTGCTGAGTTAACATAATATATGTAGATATTTTATTTTTCTCTTCTAGTGTTTCCTGTGAAATTCTTTATGAGTTTCTCTTAAATTTGATTGTACTTGAAGCAATACTTGCTAATATACTATAAAAGAGGTTTAAAATAATATTTATAAAATTTTACAAAATGCATATATTTTAGCAATTTCTATCCAGTGAGTTTCTTTTCCAATGAGTAATCATTCTAATGTATAAATGTGCTTTTATTTTAGGATAATGCAAATATGCTCTAGATCTGTATTTGGAAAAATTGTACAGGATTAGGTTAGCTGCAACTGATCATGAAAAGTAGGCAATGGAATTTACTTCAACTCTTATAAAGTATCTACCACCTCACTTGTATTCCAGAACCAGCTATGTTAAAATAACAACCTGTCTAATTTGTAGCTTTAGTTAGCATGTAAATTTTACACAAGGTTTTACTTCTAACATTCTCTATTTTATTTTTCTTTAATCAATTATCTTCCTTCAGTAAACTTAAGGAAGGAAGAGCTTCCATGGGAAAACTGGAGGATCTGCCCAGCACGGCAGCTGTTGTGCAATATGCTTTTTTGAGAGCTAACATTCCACCTCTGTATCCATAGCTCCTAAAAGAATTTCTGTCAGCAACAGAACCTTCTATTAAAAATTAAAAATGCTGTATCCCCTAAGTGAATTTTACAAATTAATTAAAGGATCTGCTTAGAGGTGGAGGAAATTATACCTTGTTTTTGCTTATGACACAGATGAAAACTCTTTGCAAACTAAAATCTTATTGCTTACATATATTATAATATGTTTAGTGTGTACACAGGAAGATTCTGGTATTTGCAAATACAGATTTTCATGTGCATGGAATTTTGTATTTGCTGAGATTAAGGTTGAGAAATGAGACTCTTTTCCAAACACTCAGATTAAAGGAGAACTTGTTTATGGGTGTCTGAGGTTTGCCCACACATGAGTAGCTCCCAGTGTTGCCATGGGCATCATCCTCACTGAACATGTCCTTCAACAGCTTCATTTTGTATTGGACTGACTTAAAATTTGAGAATTTAGGTCACCTAATGAATCTTTAAAATTGGCAACAGCTGTGGATCTCAGTGTGAACTGTTTATCCAGATTGTATTTTCTTCAGGGTTTTTTTTCTATGATGATTTTCCTGTTGTCTGGAAGTATGTTCTTCATAAAAGCCATTGCTGTCTGTGGCAGTGAAATATCTGAAGATTAGGATTATTTTCTAAACTGCTCCTTTCTTTTTAGCAACCCACTGAATATTGGATCTCAGAAACATTCCAACATTTTGAGATGACACCTTGGAAATGAGGATCTTTTTACATTTGCCGTCCATATTGAGGATGTGAAAAAAATCCATCCTATTCAGAAAAGGAAGAGGAATTGATGACACTGGAGTCCAATCTCTATGAAAGCTACAAAGCAGGAAGACAGGCTGAAGAAGATTAATCAAGGGATATTAAAAGTATAAAATAAAATTTGAGTCAATGAGGAACCTAAGTCATTGCCACTAATGGCCAAAATAGTGTTGAATTAAACTGTTCTGGAAGTGAATTACCTACTTATGGAATGGCAGAGAACAACCATCATAGTGCAATGGAGCACTGGAAGAAGAGTGAAATCCTTGCTGGATGCTTACTGTGTTTGGAGTTCT